CTCCACCATGTCCTCTGATCAGCCTCAGGTCCCTATTCTGGAGAAAAGGAGAGTGATTCGTGCTGCTGTACGCTGTGTGGTGCCCTGAGCTCCAGGCCCACCACTGCAGCCTCCCATCCTCTGGCCTCAGTTCACTCCTTGGCCTTCTCCCAGTCCTTTCTCCTAGAGGCCTTCTTCAAGCCTTATGGCTCTTGGCCCTTGACCTTGTTTCTGTCTCAGAGAAGGAATTTGTTTAGTCTTGTTGACCCTCTGTGCCCAGCAGATCAGGCCGGTGAATATTTGTCAGATAACCAACTGGAAGGGCGGGCTGGAGAGGGCTGTGGGACAGTGGGAGAAAATGGCATGGTCCTGTGTCTGCCATTTTGTTTCACCATCTTCCAGAAGTGAAGCAAAGTCACCAGGGGCCTGTGGCTCCTTTTGTTTTTCTCATGTGTGCCGCAGGCATACACACCTTTTCTTGACACCCAAGGGCTAAGGTTGGGACATATGTCCAAATGGCCCATTGTTTCCCAGAGACTCTGGTCCCCTCCTGAGGGCCGTGGTGCTCCCAGCTTCCAGCATTCTGGGCTCAAGTGAGAGCAAAGGTCATGGGCTTGGCCAGCTCCCTTTGGGCTTCCCAAGGCCCTTTATGCTCTCCTTGGAGCTCTGACCCCCACACAACTCCATGGGTGGTCCTAGGTCTGAACCCCAGATGGATGGCTAAGTTCTGCTTCTAAGAGGGCCATTCTGAGCCAGGGGCTCCCCAAAAGGCCCAACCGAGCCATGGTGCCCGGAGAACTCTTGGCTGATGTGACGGCCAAGGCTTGGCTGCGTGCACGGAGACTGGTTCAGTTCCAGGATTTGGGGGCTGCTCCCACCATCAGTAGGCAGGAAGGAGATGTAGGGAAAGCAAAGCTACAGAGGGCTGCAGTCTGGCCACAGAAGGGGGCCCTGGGGCTCCCCTCAACAGAGCCAGTAGCTCCTAGGTCGGGGCCGGGACACTGGTGGGGAGGAACAGTGAAAGGGATGCAACTTCATGATTCTCTGCAAAGGGGGAAGCCCTGTGCCCTGGCAGCCTCAGCTCTTATGTTGCCATCAGGAGGAAGGAGGGTGTGGAGCGTACGGGTGGCATTGTGCTGGGGGACAGTGTTGGCAGAGTCACCAGTGACCTGGGGCTGCTTGTGGCTTTCCCCTGTGTGCCCTTTCTTGGTCTCTTCCTCGTGCGCTCCCTTTATCCCCTCCTCTCTCTCTCCTCTCTCTCTCCCTTGGCCTCCTCCTTTCCTGTCCCCTGACTCCCAGGTGCTCCCAGGGCCACAGAAACACCCTGCGCACTAAGTCTTGACCTGGAGCCCTGTCCATGGCTCAGCCTGCTCCCCGGAGCCTGCCGCAACCCCAGGCCTGAATCCGTGTGGCCCGAGGCGGCCCCAGCAGACCATCCGGGATTTAGAGCATGGCAGCGATACTGGGCACACCTTAATCAGGCAAGGGGGGGACCTCCCTACCCCCCATCCATACAGGCGACACTGGCCTTTGTCAACCCAGTCATTGCCTTGTTTCAGCCAGGTCCCCAGATGGACAGGGAGGGGGGAGCTAAGGACAGGAGCGTCCCCAGTGGAAGGCACTGAAGCCTTCCTTCCCCACCTGGGAAAGCCCACCCACCTCGGGGTGAATTTTGCCCCTGGCCAGTCATGGCTCACACGGAGTATATTCTGGATGGTGGGACCTTAGTTTTGTCTCAACTGCTTCACCTCCTCCTCTCCAGGTGTCCACCCTTAGCTACTGCCCCTTACCCCTGCGCCTCACCGGGCACCAAGACTGCAGGTGGCTAGCCACCTGTCCCTCACTGTGGCGGAGCCAAGGCTGCACCTGCGTGAAGGCCTGACAGGCGGGATGGGCGACATAGCCAACAGCTCCATCGAGTTCCACCCGAAGCCGCAGCAACAGCGGGAGGCCCCCCAGCCGGGTGGCTTCGGGTGCACGCTGGCAGAGCTGCGTGCCCTCATGGAGCTCCGTGGGGCCGAGGCACTGCAGAAGGTCCAGGAAGCCTACGGGAGTGTCAGCGGGCTCTGCCGGAGGCTGAAGACTTCACCCACTGAGGGTAGGTCCAGCAGGTGCTTCCCAGAGCATCCTCTAACTCCCTGTGGGAGGGGACTCTGTGCAGGGGACCCTCGTGGTCCCTTTGGTAACAGAGCCCTGACCCCCTCGTCTAGAGCCAAGGTGGGGGAGGGGAGATGAGGACCCCAAATGACCCCCCAAGCAGCTTCCCATTGATGAAGGAGGGAGACACGACCCCTGCCTACATTTCGGGACTCCCCACATCCTTATCAGTGTGTTCGGCTAGGAGAGACCAGTGGAGGGGAAGGGGTGCAGGATTCGAGTCCTCTGGGCTTGGGTTGCCGGGTACCTTGCCCTGGGAACACGGGTGGCCAAGATGGGGCACAGGAGGTCCAGAGTGCTGATTGGAAGTAGCACTCACAGCTGTCCCACACTGTCCCTGCCCCGGCAAGCCTCCGGAAGCCTCACGGACATCCTCTGGAAGGACTGGGGTGGGGGCCTGGCTGTGGGGCAAAGTCCTTGTGGCTGGGGTCCCCTGTGAGGCAGGGACCACCCAAGGGCCAGGCCCAGCCCCAGACTCCAGAAACTGGAGCCCTTTCTGGCCCAGCTGCCACTGGCCTGGCAAGCCTACCTGGGCTATCCCAGCGTGATGCCAGGCTCACTCCCAGCCAGTGCTGATTGATTTCATCAGCTGCCCATCTCAGTGGCAGCACCTTGGCCCACCCAGTGCTGCTATCCCTGGCCGTCACCCTGGGCTGCTCCTGCACCCTGGCACCCCTGTCCCATCCATCATTCATCGCCAGGCCCTGCCCATTCTAGTTTCTAAATCCATCCCTTGGATGTATGGGCTCCTGCTTGCTTCTTCTGCTCGGTCTGGACTTTAGGGCACAATCAGGATCCCATTGCTCTGGCCTCGCCCCACCTGGGCTTCAGAGGGGAGGAGTTGAGGCTGGCAGGGAGGCTGGGACTTTGGGGACAGTGGCCTCCCTGGTCAGCCACCTGGGTGTCCCTGAGTGTGCAGTGGCACAATCATGCCCATGGACACCCTGTCCCACCCGCCCCACCGTGCACCAGCCTGGAGCGGCATGCTGTTGGGGCAGATGGCCCAGCTCTGCCCCAGAGGCTCTTGCTCCTCCCTGCTTCGTGCCCCCCGCCCCGGGCCTGAGGCCCCCAAGGAGGCTGGGGTGGAGGGCCATTTAGCCACAAGGGCTCTGGCCTCTCCCAGATCAAAGGAAACAGATGGGCTTCAGCTGGCAGCTCTTCTCTCGGCCTGTCAGGCCTTGTTAAATATTTAAAATGTCAAGGCCCCTGGGAACCTGCCGATTCAGCCGCAGCTCACAGGAGCTCGCCTGGTGCCCAGGAAGGGGGCAGTCTTGGAGAAGGGCAGGTGCCTGGGTAGGTGGCCCAGCCCCTGGCTGCCTTCTGAGCACCTGCACTACCCTGCAGGGAGCCGGCGAGGCCAGAGGGGCAGCCCTGCCTCTTGAGCTACACGGGCTTGAGCTGTCTGGTCAGCCAAGAGCCGTGACCCACACTCCCTGGGTCCCCTCAGCCAGGCTGCACAGTCCTCCTTGCTTAGATACAGTGGCTGAGCTGTAGAAGGGCCAGCTTAGCTGCCCCCAGGCCCTATGCCAAGGCCTTGGCAAGGTAGGCAGGCACAGGGATGCCCAGGAGGGGCTCAGGGACAGCGGGGAAGCCGGGGAGGTTCGTGGTGCACCGGGAGAGGGCTTTGTCTTCCGGTCACAGCCCATCACCCCACCGTCCCCTTCGCCTCTGAGGAGACCCCAGCAGCTTCTGGAGCACACCTGAGGACAGCCGCTCTGCTGGTCAGGAACCTTAGTGTGTCCCTGTGTCCCCACCTCCTGTCTGCTCTTCACAGGAGTCCTCGGAAGGAGGGGCAGATTAGCTAAGAGCCAACACAATGTGGTCCTAATCCAATTCCGATGGCATCTGGCCTGTGCTCCAGGCAGGCGGCCCATCTGTGTCCATGCCAACCGGCTAGCCCTGCCCCCGTGCCCTGGCCCCAGGCCGCCCTAGGACCTGCTGGGCAGACCTGCGTTCAGGAGCAGAGAGGCTGCAGCTGCCCTCATGGCCCTCCCCATGGCGGGTGCAGAGGCGGTGGTGGCAGCTGTCGGGACCCCTGCACCCACAGGAAGGCCAAGGCCATAAGGGCCGATGATGGGGAGAAGCATTGCTACAGCAGCAAGGGCAAATCAAGGCCAAGAGCAAGGCCACCCTGCCCCTGGGGACAACCTGGGCATGCAACAGGGCTCTCTAGAGGTAACAGTGGGCTTTCATCCTTCTCAGGGGCCCTGAGCCATGTGCCTGGGGACACAGGGTTCTGGGCCCTTCCCAGTGCTGGCCCCATTTCTCATATCTCCTAGAGCTGAAGGAGAGAAGCTGAGTCTGGAGTGATGGAATGGCCCCTGAGCCAGGCCCCTGGCCTCAGCCCCTCCCCTGCCACCCAAGAGCTGTGGCTAGACAGGGAAGCTCAGAAGGCAGTCAGGGCCTGCCCAGGGGAGTGGTGGCCCTCGGAAAGAGAGAGGCCTTTGGCTCCAGCAGAAATCTGAGCTGCCAGCTGGGCCGGGAAGCAAAGACGCCAGAAAGAGAAAGGCAGGGACAGCTGCGGCCCTTCTGGGTGAGGACAACACCATGTGGCTGTCACCTAGCTTAGATCGGACATTCTGTGGCTGCGGTCCTTCCACCTTGGCCAGGCCACACCCTGGCCCTCTGCAGGGGCTCCCGTCAGCACCTCCTTGTTCTCCAGGCCCTTCTGGTCACCCCTGCCCCCACAGCAGGGGGCAGGGGTGATGCCAGCTGGCGACACAGAGCCATCCGCTCTCCAGGTGTCAGTGTGGCTGGGCACTAGGGGGACACAGACAGGGGAGACAGTGAGAGCAGGAGGAGGGGCTGGGAATCCCAGGGGCCAAGGACGGGGTGGCGTCACCTCCGCTGCCACCCCTAGGGGAGGTGGCTAAGCATCCCTGGAGGCTCAGAGCCCCATGGGAGCTTGCCCACATTATGGGCCCAGCCCCTCAGCCCCCTGACACTGCTGGGGTCCAGGAGTCTGGCCTGCTTATGTCTAAGGGGGTCTCTCCTGGAACTTCTGGTTCTTCCTCCTTCACCCTCCTTGTCCCCTGCCTGGCATTCTGGGGACAATGAGCCATCAGCATGAACCCCTGGGAATCCCATTAACCCCAGCACTCGTCTTCAGGAATGATGGTGACAGAATCAGATGGGGAGGGAGGCCACCATGGTGAGGCCCCATCCTGTCCTACCCTTCACCATGAAACCAGCTCAGGCTTGAGGCCGGTGCTGGCCAGGGCTCTGGGTAAGGCGCTAGGAACGAGGCAGCTGTGGGCCCCTGTGGGCCCTGGGGTCTCACCTGACAGTCAGCCCAGGGCTCAGATCCTGGCACAGCCCCCAGTGAGATGCCACCTGCCACCAGGATGTCAGGCCAGGTCCTCGCCACCGCCACCAGAACTCTGGCTTTGCTTCTCCCCAGCCAGGCCTGGTCCCCTGCCTGCTCTCCTGGGTCCCCTCTTCCCCTCACATGACACTAGCAGTCCCCCTGTTTTGTGTCTCTGCACCCCTCTGGCTATCATGCTCCCTCTCTCTGCTCCTTGTAAAAGAAACTTCTGGAAAGTGGGCCTCACTCCCTGTCTCCAGTGGCCACCCCTCTGTCCTCAGCAGCCTTGCTTTTGAAGGCTTCTGGTCCCCCTGGGCCTTGCCCCCGTGCAGGTTAAGCTGTACGACCCGGCAAATCTTGGGGACCAGCAGGCCATGGGGCCGGGATGTGGCCAAGCCCAGTGGCTGTCTCGGATGCACTGGACTGGTCACTGTGCGGAGCTGGAGATGTCTTCCCAGGCCAGAAGAGTCACCCTTCGCAGAGGGCCCCAGAGAAACCAGGCTGTCATCCCCACCCCTTTGATTGGTAACTCCTCGGAACCACCGGCCGCTGTCTTCTGCTCCTCTGGGTCCCCTCTGTTCTTGCCCCTTGCCGGGCGCTATTGTGTCCCTGCAAGTCCCCACGCAGTGATAGTTGGGAGGCAGGACGAGGCAGCTCAGCTGACTGAGAGTAGATGAAGGAGGCGTGTGGCCTGGGTTGGGGTGCCAGAGACTGGGACCACTGTGGCCCCAAGGCTCCCTGGGCCTGTTTTCTCATCTGGGCATCGGGAGGAAGCCAGCAGCCCCTCTTCCCAGGCTGGGGCTCCCTGTGATGGTCACTCCCTTGTGGGTCTGCCCTGTCCCTGGCCTGGACAGCCCCCTTCCTGTCCCAGGGCACCATCTAGAAGGCTGCTCGCGGTGCCCAGGGCTCAGGCTGGCCTATCCCACCCTGTCCCTCTGTGCTTCTGCCACCCTCGTGGGGCATCATGCAGGTTTGGCGGACAACGCCAATGACTTGGACAAGCGCAGGCAGATCTATGGGCAGAACTTCATCCCCCCCAAGCAACCCAAGACCTTCCTGCAGCTGGTGTGGGAGGCCCTGCAGGATGTGACACTCATCATCCTGGAGGTGGCTGCCATCGTGTCCCTGGGCCTCTCCTTCTATGCACCGCCTGGAGAGGAGAGTGAAGGTGCGTGTCCAGGGATCTGGGGGAAGGAGAGGAGGGTGGCCTCCCAGATGGCCCTGCCCAGGCTAGCGTGACTTCTTTTCTGCTCCCCTTCCATCCTTGGGCACAGCCTGCGGGAATGTGTCTGGCGGGGCGGAAGACGAGGGTGAAGCAGAGGCCGGCTGGATCGAGGGGGCCGCCATCTTGCTGTCTGTCATTTGCGTGGTGCTGGTCACAGCCTTCAATGACTGGAGCAAGGAGAAGCAGTTTCGAGGCCTGCAGAGTCGCATTGAGCAGGAGCAGAAGTTCACGGTCATCCGGAACGGGCAACTCCTCCAGGTCCCCGTGGCTGCACTGGTGGTAGGGGACATTGCCCAGGTCAAGTATGGTGAGTGTGTTGGTCTTCTGGCTCCCCTTTCCAAGAACACAGTGAGTGAGACAAGAGTTCCCAGCATGGCTGTCTCCTCAAGAGTACCTGCGCCTTCACCTGCAGGGGGCTGGAGATGAGGGACATGGTGGATATGAGACAGGGAGGTGGCAGAGTTTGAGACACAACAGTGGCCCCAGGGAGCAAGCTTCTGCAGAGGTCTTCATCACTACTGCAGGATGCAAATGTTCCTGTTCCCTGGTTAGGTCTGGGTGGTTCCCCCTCTGTCTCAGTAACTTTCCCATTACTGGGACAAAATACTTGACACCCACAATTTAAAGGAGGAGAGGTTTATATTGACTCAGTTTTTAGAGGATTCAGTCCATGGTTGGTTGGCTCCAACACAGGGCAGCATGGTGGAAGGGATCACAGAGGACAGATGGTCACCCCATAGCAGCCAGGAAGCAGAAAGGTGAAGAGCCAGGGACAAGAACATACCCTTCCAGTCACACCCCCAGTGACTTAGGCCCCACCTCCTAACAGTATATTCAGCTGCTGAACTCATTGATGTATCCATCAATCCACTGATGAGTATAATACCCCCATGATCCAATCACATTCTAAAAGCCCCACTTCTAAATACATGAGACTTTTGGGGGACATTTTAGTTCTAAACAATAACATTCTATCCTTGGCCCCCAAAAGATTCATGTCCATTTCATTATGCAAAATACATTTAGCCCATCTCTAAGAGTTGCCAGAGTCTTAACAATTCCAGCACTGCTCACAAATTCAAGTCCAAAGTCTCCTGTGAGACTCATACGAACTCAGCTAAGAACCCCTGCAGAAATCATAAAGAAAATTAAACACTGCCAGTATATAATGGCTCAGGGTAAACCTTTCCATTCCAAAAGGGAGAAATAGGAAGATAGAAAGGAATGGGACCAAAGCAAGACCAAAACCCAGAAGGCAAACATTAACTCCAGTAGCCCCATGTCCAGCACTGGGACAGATGGTGGTGAGCTGTGAACTCCAGAGGGCTTGAACAGCCCCGATCCTATGGCCTTATTGGTTGCAGTGCACATGCCCTTTCTTGGGCTGGCTCTGCTCACTGCCTATGGCTTTCTTCAGGAGAAGTTCCACATTCCTGGAATCTCCTACTTCCCAGAGTCTCCACTGCACTTTAAGCTTTACTCTCACAGATTCATTCACTACCCTCTCGGGGGCACACTGCCTGGCTGCCCAGGCCTTCTTCTGAATCTGGAAGGATCTCTTCATGACCTCAGAACTCTTGCATTCTGCATTCCAGTAAAACCAGAATCACATGGACAACATCAAGGTCTACCACTAACATTGGCAGTAGCCAGACCCCCTTAGACCATGCCAGCAGAGGCCTCTGAATGTCTGGGTGTTGGAGCACTGTGAAATGAATCCCATGGAACCAATTCCTTAGGTGGTCCTTCTCAAGCAGGAGGCTCAGAGACTCTCTTCTTTTTTTTTTTTTTTTTGTATTGGGGATTGAACTCGGGACCTTGTGCTTATGAGGCAGGTGGCAGAACCACTGAGCTAAATCCCCAGACCTCAGAGGCTCTCTTCTTAAATGAAAGGTTCACACTTTTCCACCTTTGAGTCTGTGAAGGGTGGAGCCTAGCCAATTTCTGAGATGCCTTCTGGCCACCTTTCCTACAGTCCTGATGCAAAGTACTTGGCTTCTTTTTTGGGGGTACTGGGGATCGAACTTGGGACCTTGCACTTGCGAGGCAGGTGGTAACTTTTTAATGGTAATGTTTTCAGCAATCACATTTTCCCTGGACCCCAACTTAATGGATGCTTCCTTTCTCACCAAGCTGCAAGTTTTCCAAAATCATTTAACTCTGCTTTTTGCTTCTGATTCTCACTGTAGATTGGGCTAAAAGCAGCCAGCAGTACCTATGCTGCAGCCTAAACATTGAGCTGCCTTCAAATTTCCTCTACCAGATCAATTAGTTCACCACCTTTAGATTCAGCATCACATGAAGTCTTAGGATATGGACACAATGTAGACAAATTCTTTGCCAGAATGAAACATACATGGTCTTTAGTCTAGTTACTAATAGAATCCTCATTCCCATCTGAAACCTCCTGAGTTTGGACTTCACTGTTCACATTCCTATCAGCGTTTTAGTTTTCAAGCTCTGGATCAGAATCTCCCATCAGTATCTGCTTACAGCAATTTAGGTCTTCTCTAGCCCACGTCTCCAAACTTGTCCAAATTCCTCCCACAGACAAGTTCCAAAGGGTTTCTTAAAACTGTATGATCAGGGGGCCAGGGAATTAGCTCAGTGGTTCTGCTGCCTGCCTCACAAACACAAGGTCCTGAGTTTGATCCCTGGTACAAAAAAAAAAAAATGTGATCAGGTACAGTCATAGCAATGACCCCCACTCTTGGTACTAAAAGCTGTATTAGTTACTTTCCTATCACTGGGGCAAAGTACTTGACACCCACAACTCAAAAGAGGACAGATTTATTTTGGCTCAGAGTTTTTGAGGATTCAGTCCATGCTTTGTTGGCTCCAAGGCAGGGCAGCATGGTGGAAGGGATCACAGAGGAAAGATGCACACCCCACAGCAGCCAGGAAGCAGAAAGAAAAAGCACAATGGAGGAAAGTTTCACCCTATGTCAGCCAGGAAGCAGAAAGAGAAAGGGAGAGCTCAGGACAAGAATATGCTTTTCCAGATCATGACCCTCCTCTTCTGACCAGGCCCTACTTCCTAATAATAATACATTCAGCTACTGAACTCATCAATGCATTAATCCACTCATGAGTATAGCAGCCACATGATCCTATCACCTAAAAGTCCCACCTTGGAAGACATGAGACTTTGGGGAGACTTTTTAGACCTAAACCATGACACCCTCTCAAAGGAGGAGACTGAAGGAAGAGGGCTCCCCAGTACCTTTCCCAGGTGGCCAGTCACAGCTCAAGGGACCTCCCCTGGGAAAGCTTGGAGGAGGCAGTGGGGAGAAAGGTCCTAGAGACCCATAGTCTTTGGTTCTGACTCTGGGCCGGCCTTTAGGAGACCTACTGCCCGCTGATGGTGTGCTCATCCAGGGCAATGACCTCAAGATCGACGAGAGCTCCCTGACAGGCGAGTCAGACCACGTGCGCAAGTCAGCTGACAAAGACCCCATGCTGCTGTCAGGTGAGGCCCACCTTCCCAACCAGCCCAGCACAAAGCCAACTTGGAAGCCATTTGGCCCAGCTGCCTGCCCGGCTCACCTGAGCAATGGCCTCCCTAAGTAGCCCTTTCAGCTGAGGAGCCATGGAAAGGCCACTGGGGGCCTGATGGTGGCAGTTGCAGCCACAGAGTAAGGAAGTAGGTGCTGCCAGCTTAGCAGGGCCTCTGTATCTGGAATGGGAAGCACCAAATCGGGGAGAGCTTGCTGGGGCTCAGCATAGTGTTCTTCCCAAATCCAGACCCTTGAGAAGGCCCAGTGGACACAATTCTCCTTTTCCAGAAGGTTATGACTTAGCCCAATATTTAATCCAGTGGGAAATGTAGGCCCCTGGGGGTCCTGTGACTAGCTCTCCACCTGCCCCTCTGTGGCCCTCTGGGTCCTCACTAAGTCAGGCAGCAGGCTGCAGTTTAGGCTTAAGGTCAACACAGTTCTGGTGACTTCTGGGTGATGAGTCCCTGCCTCTGGGATTCCCTGGGAGCGAACCTGCAGGCACTGACCATGTCGCCCACCAGGTGGCGCAAATCTCTGTCTCAGTCTCTGTGTCGCTGTGCCAGGCACTCATGTCATGGAAGGTTCGGGAAGAATGGTGGTGACAGCTGTTGGTGTGAACTCCCAGACAGGCATCATCTTCACCTTGCTGGGAGCTGGCGGAGAGGAGGAGGAAAAGAAGGATAAGAAAGGTAAGGCAACACCAACTTCCGGTTTCCAGAGCTGATGGCGCCCTTTCAGCTAGGTCTCTGCTTTTTCTTCTTGTCTGCCTGCGGAAGGTCCCCTGCTGGAGAGAGCTAGACCTTCCCACCCTCCTCAGGTCACAGCTCTGCAGGCCTGGCCTGACTACTGCTGTGACTCGGGCCCATGCCTGCATGCCACTTCTCTGGCTCTGGCCTCTCCTGCAGCCCAAACCAAGTGGGGAGCAGAGATTTCTAGCCCAGAAGAATCTCCCCAGAAGTCCAGAGAATCCAGATGTGGCTTCCTGCCAGAGGCCTCCAGCAGGGCCCCGGGACCGGGGAGCCAGCGAGGGGACAGTAAGTCTCAGGCTGCAGATGGCCTGGGCCTGCCCACCCCCAGCCTCACAGGGACAGGCTGGCATAAGGAAGGACATGTTAGCAGCCCCAGCCTGCGCCATTTCTTCACAGTCCCCAGCTCCAGGTTCTCTTGCTAGAAGCTTCCGTGGGCCTTGTCTCCTGGCAGCCTGCATCTCCCCACATGGGTACCACCCTGCTCCCTGCAGGCCAGACCCACTGACACCACCTCTTTGCTGCATCAAGCCCCTGTCTCCATGGGCCTCAGCCCAGGGCCCCTCCCCAGTGAGCACCCGGGGTACACGGGCAATAGGTGGGCCCTAGGCATCGTATGGGCTGGGCTGCACTGGGCTAGAGTCCCCAGACCTCTCTCTCTCTTCCTCATGGCCTCTTGGTCACAGCTGGTGGCAGGGAGTCCCTTCCACAAAGGGCCCTCCACCCCACCCCACCTGCACACCAAGGCTCCCTCTCCTGGACTCCTGGAGCCTCCACTCTCGGTGTCCTCTGGGCCCTTCACAGGCTCCTGGCCTGCTGCTGCGCTGTCCCTTCACTGTCCGTGTCTTTCACAGCTTGGTCCTGGCCCCTCCTCTTTGACCTTGACCCCCACCTCGCTCCTCTCCAGCATCCTCAGACTGTGCAACTCAGGGCCCCGGGTGGCTGGTTTCCGGGGGAGAGCTCACTGTGCCCAGCATCTCTCTCTCTGCCACCCCTAACCCTGACCCCAGGGGTCGGCCCAGCCTGCCGGGCATACTTGGAAGGTGCTCCCTGCCCACCTGCCTCCTCTTCTCTGTGGCTGTGCTGCTTGACTACAGCTCCTATGCACCCTTACCTGGAAGGTGCCCGCCTCCCCTCAGGCCTGTCCCCGCTCTAGGCCACCTCTCCCTGCAGTGCTCACCCCAAGCCTCCCTTCTCAGAGGCCTCCCCCAGCCCTCCCTCACACTGCTCTGTGGCCTGTCCAGCAACACCACCTGTTGTGCTGTTTTGTCACCATGTTGTCATCCTGTGTCTCGGGTGTCTCTGCCACCCCCTCTGCCACCCCTCAGTCTCCTTCACCTCTGAACTGCCCTCCAGCATGCACAGGGGCCCTGGGCAGAAGGGACCCAATCTGTGCCTTACCTCCAGCTGGGAGGGGCCTCTCCTTCCTTCTTGGGAACCCCAGAGCCCAACCCCACTGCCTAGGAGCCACATGGCTCTCTCTGTCCCTGGGTCCCCAGTAACAATGAGCTACTGAGAAGGAAGCAGCAGGCCAAGCCACAAGCCCCCTTTGCCCAGGTCACCTCTGGATCAGAGCCAGAGTAGACATGGCCCCAGCATAGCTCCTGTAACTGCCACCTACCCTGTGCCCAGACGGGTCCACTGGGGCCCAGCCTGACCCTCCACTGCCTCCTGCTGTTTGCCAGCGCTCAGGCGGGCCTTCCCATGTGGTGGCCCTGGGCACATAAGCAAGCCCTGTCTTGGGTTGCCCTGGAGGTGTACTTGGCAGGTACCCGAGATCCAACAGAGTCCTGCCAGTGGGACACCTGGGTGCAAAAACCCCATGGGCAACACTGGGAGTGGGCACCTCCTGCCCCAGCCCTGCGTGGCCTGGGGCCCATCTAGGGCTGGCATTAGGGGTTCATAAAGCCCTGGCCAGTGGTTTTGCTCAGGACACCCAGAGACTATCTGGTGGCCACACGGTGGGAGGTGGTGACAGCCCCATCCCACATCCTGGGCTGCACTGTCTGTGCCCCAGCTCTGCCTGCTGTCCTGTGCCTGTATGTGTCCTCACCATGTGAGTGTTCTCAAGTCTGTGTCTGTCGTTCCTCTTCCACTGTAGGCAAGCAGCAGGATGGGGCGATGGACAGTAGCCAGACCAGAGGTAATGCAGCCAGGAGCCCAGGGACGGGGCACAGTGGGCGGGGGCGGGGGAGCCACTCTCAGCCGGCAGGAACCGCACCTGGAGGCCAGGTGAGTGGTCTCGTCCCTGCCAGAGGGTGGAGGGGGCACCCGGAGGCTGCTCCAAGCTGCCCACTCACAGCCACTGCCGGAAGCCCAGAGCGGCTGCCTAGGGGTGGCCAGCTTGTCCCTGCAAAGAGTGAGCACCCTGGTCCATTTGGCCAAATGAGGAAACTAAAGCCCAGAGAGGGTGACTTGCTCAAAGCTCTGGGGCCTGGTCCTGTGCAGTTCCCAGGTGAGCACCCTTTCAGCAGAGCCCACTGGCCAGGGTTGTGGCCATCATCCAAGGGGCAGAGGCCCAGGTTCCTGGTGGGTGCTGGGAGACACAGGAAAAAGTGACTTGGTGGCAGAAGGGAGCCTGAGGCGAGATTTCAGGTCAAATGGTGTTCAGCTCTAGGTGACAGGAACACAGGGGGATATGGCAGTCCTGGCCCCCAGGAAAGTCACAGGCAGAGATGGATAGTGCAAGTACCATGTGGCAGGTGTTTGCCTGGACACCTGGGGACCCAGGGACTAGGACAGGGTCACCCAAGCCAACTGCAGCTCAGAGTATAACTGAGGTTGGCGGGCATTCAGGACAGGACAGCCCACTGGCTGGAGCCCTGGGTTGAGGGGGTGAGTGAGTAGAGGTGGGGCACAGGGCTAGAGTGGCCCAGCTGGGCAGGGACTGGCATGTCCTAGAGGCACCAGGGAGAAAGGAGCTATAGCGAGTGGCCTGGGGTTCTCGGGTAGGGAGAAAGGATGCAGAGGTGCTGGCCATTGTACCAAAAGCGCCTTGCATGGAGGGCGAGAGTGAAGCAGGAGAAAGATAAGCTTGGGGACCCCAACTGCCAGTCCGGTGGCCCCTCCTGCAGACATGAATTCTTTGGGCAGTGTAGCTGGAGGCCCAGAGGGAGCCCAAAGTGTGTGAGGCTGGGGCTTAGTGGAGCCGGGGGACTCGCCCCTACCCCATCAAAGGCAGTGAGGATGAGGCATGAGGGACCCAACCGGGAGAAGCAAAGGGAGCCCAGAAAGGTAGCGAGGGACAGAAAGGCCAACTGGAGGAGACGGCTGAGCAGCACCAGGCGGGCAGGGAGGAGGGGAGCCCGGAGACAGCTCAGACGCTGGGGCCAGATGAGCCAGCTTCAGCTTCTGGAACACTCTTCAGACCACAGGACTCTGCTCTCAGGTATCGAAACATGGGGCATTCCAGGACTGGCCACTGTGTCTGTGTGCCTAAGTTCTTTGTGTTGTGCCTATCCTCCCTTCCCACGAGACAGCCCAGTCTCTGTCCCACCAGGATGGTGCTGCAGCAGCCGGCCTCCCTCAGGAGGGCCTGAGCTTAGGTGGGCGCACAGGAAAGGCCTTGTGGAGCTTGGAAATAAGCGCACCCCATGGAACCCCGTTTCCTCTGTGTGGTGTGGCATGTTGCCCCACTGATAGCCCCCTGGAGCCCCTTTCCCTGGCTAGGCCCTAACCTCACCCACGGGGCTCCTCTGTGTACAGCCAAGAAGCAGGATGGGGCAGTCGCCATGGAAATGCAGCCCCTGAAGAGCGCAGAGGGCGGGGAGACGGAGGAGCGGGAGAAGAAGAAAGCCAGCGTGCCCAAGAAGGAGAAGTCGGTCCTGCAGGGCAAGCTCACGAAGCTGGCCGTGCAGATTGGGAAAGCAGGTAGGGACAGCTGGAGGCAGAGGGCCAGGGGCCACTGAGCAGGGTCAGGGACACTGGGCCCCGGGGATGGCCAGGTAGCAGGGCATGTAGTCTCGGTGTACACGGGCTGCATTCTGACCCATCTCCCGGGGCTGTCTCCCCAAGCATGGGGCAAAGCTGGGTGCTCTCAGGAAGGCCCCGGGCTAGCTCAAGCTGGCTGCAGCTACAGTGACCCTAACCTCTTCTTGCCTCTCCTCCCTCCCCTCCCCACTGCATGGCCTCCATGGTGGCTGGGCAGGGCTGGTGATGTCCGCCATCACTGTCATCATCCTGGTCCTCTACTTTGTCATCGAGACCTTTGTTGTGGATGGCCGAGTGTGGCTGGCAGAGTGCACACCGGTCTACGTGCAGTACTTTGTGAAGTTCTTCATCATCGGCGTCACTGTGCTGGTTGTGGCTGTCCCCGAGGGCCTGCCTCTTGCTGTCACCATCTCCTTGGCTTACTCTGTCAAGGTAATCACTAGGCTTCTGACCGGTTCTGTCCCACAGGCTCAGAAGCAGGAGTGGGGTGTGGACGGCGAGGGGCTAAGAGGCAAGAGACCCTGGGGGATGCCTGTGAGACTGGAAGCGTGGGAGAGCTGGGGTGGCATGGGGAGCCACAGGTCAGCAGGTGAGCCAAGAGGGGGCTCTGGGGACAGCCTGCTCCCTCGGTTGGGCCACCACCCAGCACTGAGCAGGCTGCGGTCCCCAACGGTCCCCAACACACATGCCATGTTTGTGTTGACCATCTCTCGCTCCCCTTCCCCTGCTGAGCAAACAACCCAAGCACCCCCCACCCCGTCTGTGCCCTTTGCAGAAAATGATGAAGGACAACAACCTGGTCCGCCACCTGGACGCCTGCGAGACCATGGGCAATGCCACGGCCATCTGCTCAGACAAGACGGGCACGCTCACCACCAACCGCATGACCGTGGTCCAGTCCTACCTAGGAGACACCTACTACAAGGAGATTCCAGCCCCCAGCGCCCTGACCCCCAAGATCCTTGACCTCCTGGTCCATGCCATCTCCATCAACAGTGCCTACACCACCAAAATACTAGTGAGCCGCTCCAGGGAGAGGGCAGGAACTGGGCTGGGGGCATGGCATGAGCATCCCAAGGGGCTCATGAGGCCCCCCCCCAGGAATTTTGAGGGACTAGGGGTGCAGCTCAGTGGCAGAATGCTTGCTTAGCATGCACGACGCCCTGGGTTCTGTGTCCAGCACTGCAAAGACAAACAACAACCACAACACCACAATCCAGAACTTTGGAGTAGAACCTCTGGGGTACTGGCGACCTCCCTTCCCGTCCCTGGCATGAGAGGGTGCTCTGGCTGCTGGGCGGGGCCTGGTGAATGGTGGGAAATCAGCCCACAAGGGCTCACTGTGCAGCTAGGGCAGGGCCTGTCTAGTCCACACTGGGCCTTCCTCTGCCACCCTGCCAGTGTGGAGGGCACAGCCAAGCAGGAGCCAGGGCCTGGGGACAGCACGGGGGTGTTTGCAGCCCCCATGCCATGCTGCCTCTCCTTGCCCTGCAGCCTCCAGAGAAGGAAGGCGCCCTCCCACGCCAAGTGGGCAATAAGACTGAGTGCGCTCTGCTGGGCTTCATGCTGGACCTGAAGCGGGACTTCCAGCCCGTGCGGGAGCAGATTCCGGAAGATAAGCTTTACAAAGTGTACACCTTCAACTCGGTCCGCAAGTCCATGAGCACGGTCATCCACAAGCCTGACGGCGGCTTTCGCCTCTTCAGCAAGGGGGCCTCAGAGATCCTGCTCAAAAAGTGAGTGGGCGACAGGAAGGAGCCAGGGGCCGGGAGGCTGGGGGCTAGCTAAAGGGTATTCACAAAATCTCTTGCTTTATGTCTGTGATGAAATAGGCCTAATGTGCAGTTGACTATTTAACCGCTTTACTATGTGGTTCGGCGGCATTAAGTGTATTCACAATGTCAGCCGTCACTATTACTGCTTCCAAAACATTTCTATGACCCTAAAAAGAAACCCTGGATACATTAAGCAATACTCTCCAGCCCTGGCAACCACCGCTCTGCTGTCTGTCTCTCTGGATTTGCCTAACTGGACAAGTCATATAAATGGAATCGTACAGCTCATGGCATTTGTGTCTGCCTTCTTTCCCTGAGAATAATGTCCTCTTGTATCAGAATTTTATTCCTTTCTGACAATTAAATACCATCCCTTTGTATGGGAAAGACCACATTTTGCTTCCTCATTCATCTGTGGACAGATCAGGGCTGTTTCCACAGTTTGGCTATGGTAAATAATGCCTTGAAAATTCATGTACACATTTCTGTTTGAACACACATTTTCAACTCTTTTGGGATATATGCTGTGCTAACTTTCCGTTACTATAACAAGTATCTAGATGAGCAACTTATAAAGAAGAAAGGTTTATTTTGGCTTACAGTTTTGGAAGTTTCAGTCCATTGTCCGTTGGCCTCATTGCAAGGCACTACATCATGGCAGGAAGTGCATAGTGGAGCAAAAAGCCATTCATTTCATGGCTGGCATGAGAAGAAGGAGGAAGAGACTACAGTGCCATTACCTCCTTTGAGGGCACACAACCAATGACCTAAAATCTCCCCCATTAGGCCCACCTCTTGTTTTGGTTTTTGGGGTTTTTTATTTGTTTGTTTGTTTTGGTACCGGGGATCAAACTCGGGACCGTGCGCTTCCAAAGCAGGCGGTGGAACCACTGAGCTAAATCCCTGGCCCATCTCACCTCTTAAAATTCTACCAACTCCTGGTAGCACCAAGCTGGGGACCAAGCCTTTACCCCATAGGCCTCTGGGAGACACTTCAGATCCAAACTTAGCATCCCACCCCCCGATCCACATAGCCTCATGGCTGCCTCACAATGAAAAATGCACTCAGTCCATCTCTGAGAGTCCCCAAAGTCTTAACAATTCCAGCACTGCTCAAAAGTCCAAGTCCAAAGTCTCCTCTGAGACTCAAGGCAAACTCTCAGCTGTGAGCCCCTGTAAAATTCAAAAAGAAGTTAAACACTGCCAACATGCAGTAGCACAAGGATAAACGTTCCCATTCGAAGAGGGGAGAAATAGAAAAGTCATATGGAAAGATAAGACCAAAACCTGGGAGGGCAAATATTAAACCTGAAATTGCCAGGGCCAGTACCTGAGACACGCTGTGGTGGCATGTGGGCCTCAAGGACTTTGCTAGGTGCAGCCCACATGGCTTCCCTCAGGGTTAGCTTTGCTCTGCCACACATCACCTGGCCACAGGTCTTCCTTTGCAATCTGGGTGGAAGCCTCTAAGGCCCCATAACTCTTGCATTCTGCATACCTGCAAACCCAGCATCACATGGATGACCTTCAGCTCTGCCACCAGTGTGAGCTATACCTGGGCCCGCCTTGAACCATGGCTTCTACAGCCCTCAGTGCCTGGATGGGTGAACATATGAAGACCAGTCCTCAGAAAACAATTCCCTAGGTGCTTCGGGGTGAGCAGAGCACCCTGGGGCTCTCTTCGACAAAGACTGCCCTGGAAAGTCTTTGACACAAATTTGTGTTTATCCATCTCTAAGCCTGTGATGGCCTGGGTCTTGCCAGTGTCTGAGATTCTCTCGGGTGTCTTTCCTATGGTCCCAGTGGAAAGGATTAGCTTCTCTTTAGCAGCAGTTGCAACAGCACCCTCCTTAGCCATGTGCACTTCTTTTCCAGTCAAGCAGCAAATTTTCCAAGTCTTTTCACTCTGTTCCTCCTTGCTCCCAACTCTCACAGTAAATTTGGTTTAAAGCAGCCAGTGATACCCATACCATAGCCTAAGTGCTGTGCTGCCTTGAAATTTCCTCCACCAGACAAACGAGTCCATGACCTTTAAAGTCAGATGCCCACAAAGTCTCGGGGCACAGCGTAGCAAGGGTGAGCTGTCATCCCATCATCTACCAGAACCCTTGTTGCATCTGAAACCTCATCAGCATAACCTGTACTGCCCACATCCCATCAGCCCTGGGGCTGCCAAACCCCCTCCAGAGGCGCCGGGAATCTCTGCTTATAGCATGCTAGGCTTTCTCTAGCCTGCTCCCCCAGAGTCTTCCAAGACCCCTTCTGCGAAGTGGTTCTAAAGACGTTTTTTTCACTTTGTCCCCTACAGTCACAGCAACAACTTCCATTTGTCGGTGCCAATTCTCTAGGCATCCTCAGTGTATTCAAAATTAACCATCACATATACCTCGGAGTGAAATTGCCGGGCCACGTGGTAGCTCTGTGCTTCCGTTTTTGAGACCCTGCCAAAATGGTTTTCAGAATGACTGCACTGTCCCATGTCCCCACCCACAAAGTAGAAGGGTGCCAACTTCTCCTCATCCTCACAGTATTCGTTATTTTCTGCTATGATTATTAGCCTTCCCATCCACGTGGGTGTGCAGTGGCAACTCATGGTGGTTGTGACTCTTGTGTCCCCAAGGGCTGATGGTCTTGAGCAACTTTCCCTGGGCTCAGCAGTGCTCTGCAGGTCTCCTTTGCCCATGTTTGAGTTGGGTTGTTTGTCCTTTTACTGTTGAGTTTGAAGTGTTCTTTATATCCTCTGGATGCTAGATCCTCATCAAATATATAACTCGTGACTATCTGCTCCCGTCCCGTGAGTTGTCTTTTCACACTCTCGCTGGTGTCCCGAGGCGCACATGTTTGAAGACTGTGATAAAGTCCAAGTGTCTGTTCTTGCTGTTGCGGTTTATGTGGGGTTTCTTTCAGAGGTGATGAAAATGTTCTAGTTGACTCCAGTGATGCTTGTACGTATCTGTGAATATCTTGAGAACCATTGAATTGTACACTTTCAATGGGCAAACTGTGTGGTATGTGAATTATATATCAATAAAGCTGCTAAAACCTGAAGGAAGGGCATGCACCTTACCTCGGATGTCCCTGCACCCCTGCCTCACCTGCACACATCCTTGGCCCTGGCCTCTCTGTCCTCCATGTGCTCCTTCCCTCTCCTCACCCCCACAGGCCATGGGAACAGAGCCCTGAACAGGACGCCAGCCTTTCCCATGCCCACAGCCTCGGCAGACCTAGTCACCAAGTGCCTGGCATGCATGCCCCCCAGGCAGCCCAGGCAAAGGCCATCTCCAGCCTGATGCTGTCCTTGCTGGGCTAGGGGTGGCTTGGGTACCCAGTCGTCTTTCTGTGCCTCCCCTCTGGTGAGCACTGTGGGCCCAAGCTCTGCAGCTGGGGCTGAACTCGGGCCCTGGCCCTGCCTTTGCTGGCTGTGTGCTTACGCCCTCCCTGTCTCAGTGTCCCCTCCACCGCGGAGCTGTCCCATCCCCCATCTCTACAGCCAGTTCCTGTGTCACCAGTCTCCCCGTGGCACTGCCACTGGAGGCCCCATTTACTTCTTCCACCACACCTGTTTCTGTGGCTGACGGCCCCGGGCCTGTCGCTTCTAAGGAGCTCCCAGGGTCATCAGAGCTTGGACTGAGGTGGCTGCTGCCTGAATGCTGTGGCATTCAGTTTTTCCTAGGGTCTGTGGGACAGTTACTGCAGCCTTGCAGCCTTCCTCCCACCTGGGTCACTTAGCCAACAGCAATGTATGAGTATCCTGGGGCTCCTGGAACAAATGTCCCCAAACCAGGTGGCCTCAAACAACACAAACTTGACATCTCTCAGTTCCAGAGGCTGAAAGTCCAAAGTTAAGAGTGGACTGGGCTGTGCCCCCCTGAAAGCTGTAAGGGCTGATCCCCATTGCCTCCCCCCACTTTCTGGAGTTGGCCACCATCCTCGGCACAGCATGCATCATGCTAACCTCTGCCTGTTGTCACATGCCATTCTCCCTGTCCATGTGTTCTGCACTCCCTGTTTATAAGGGAACCGGTCATTGGCTAAGGCCCCACCCTAATCCCGTGTGACCGGCACTGTTTCCTGTCTCCCCTCACCCCATGCCCCTCCCTGCCCAGGTGCACCAACATCTTAAACAGCAACGGGGAACTCCGGAGCTTCCGTCCCCGGGACCGGGATGACATGGTGAAGAAGGTCATCGAGCCGATGGCTTGTGACGGCCTGCGCACCATCTGCGTCGCCTACCGAGACTTCTCTGCAGGCCAGGAGCCCGACTGGGACAACGAGAATGAGGTGGTGGGTGACCTCACCTGCATAGCTGTCGTGGGCATCGAGGACCCCGTGCGGCCTGAGGTAGCCACCCCTTCTCTGGGAGCTGCCCTGGTAACTGTGCCCTGAGCCTGGGCTTGTCTGGTGGGTGGCCGGACAAGCCTTCTCCCACATCTGGCTTTCCTACGTGTCGCCCATCTTCTTACCAAAGTTCCAGGTAGGGCAAACAGGCCAGTGCCAGAGTCCAGAAAGACTGGGTAGGGCGGTCAATGGCAGAGATTTGGGGCCCTCTGGGGGCATGGCTGTCCTTCCCAAGACCTGACACCCCCTTAACAAGCTGGGCCCTGACCCACACAGGGCTTCTGTGCCACCCACTAGAGGCTCTACCTGCTTGTCCATGGGTGGTCACCAGGGATGACAGAGTAGGGAAGCCTGAGGGGGCACAGGTTTGGGGGACAAGGTGAGCAGTTCTCCGTCAAGGGCCTGGTTAGTTCAGAGTGAAGTTCAGGACTTCCTCTGTGGAATGTCAAATGCCCAGGCGGCAAAGGCCCTGGAGGGAAGGACATTCCAGGGGCATCTTTATGTAGGTGACACCACCAGGGTAATGTGTGGCTGTGATAGAGGCTGACGAGGAAAACAGAGTGAAGGAGAGCAGATGAGCTCAGGCATGGCCTTGACATTGGACAGCCATCAGAGCAGGCTCCACTCACTGGCTGTGGCTTTGGTCTTTAAAGATGGGACATCTGAAAGAGCCCTCTGTTGTCCCAGACCCTCTCCATTGGTGCCACCTCATGTCAGCAGCAGGGCTACCTCGATCCTGCCCATTAGCCCGAAAAGCAGATTTGTAGAATGTGCAGGTGCGATGGGAGGAGAAGCAGTGGCCACGGGTCATTGTCAGCAGAGCAGCCTTGAGTCCCAAAGACACTGTGGTCACGCCTGGGAGAAGTTGGTGGACGAGACAGACTTGTAGTGAGCAGTATTTTTTGTAAGTTTTCATCTCAGATAATGTCAAACCCAGGTAAGTCAATAGAAGGCCATAAGGGTGCCACAGATGAGTAAGGGGCAGGGAGAAGCCACCCCAGGCTGGGTGATGGCAGCCGGGCCCAGGGATCAGGAACAGCTCCTTTCTGGCTTGAGATTGGCCAGGAGAGAGTCCAGGTGGCACATCACAGTGACAGGGCCAGGTGGGGAGGCCAGACGGTGCCTAGGAGGAGCCCAGAGGACTGGTGAAAGTGCTGGTGCCTGGAGGCACCGGGTGGCTGCCTCCGGAGAAGGCCGTGGGGCTGTGCCCATGGCAGCCCAGGGCTGGTACTGTTGATGCCAGGGTGCGGCCTGGCAACTGCTGCAGATGCCCGGCTGGTCGTTGTGCTGTCAGGCCTTGGGGAGAAAGTGGGACAAAGAGGGACAGTTCTTCCCAGGAAAGCAAGGTCACCCTTAGGTGCCCAGGCAGGTGAGGAGCACCACTGCCTGGGGCCACAGCTGCCAGGCCTCAGGCTCCTCATGGCCACTTGGTGGCAGCAGAGGGGTGGCACAGGCGCTGCCTAGTAGTTCATGGTCTTATCCAGCACCCTAAGATCCTCAGAAAGCAGAAAGTGGCCCTGAGGCCAGAAGGGTGAGACACATGCGGGTACAGGGTCCAAGCTCCCTCCAGCAGCTGAGCCCATCCCAGGGCCATTTGCTTCAGGGGTCACTGGCTGTGTGTCACAGCCTGAAGTAGAGGCCACTCTATTCTCACCTCCACTTTCTCCTGGCTGCTCTGCGCTGCCCTACTTTGGTCCCCCTCAGCCCTGCTGACCTTCAAGGAGCTGGCAAGGTGAACAGGGTCGGGAGGCCAATGCCGCCACCCTACCAGCAGTGACCCTCGGGCGGGTCTTGCTCGGAAGCTCTGGGGCTGTTTCCCAGCAGGAAAATGATGTTGACAGAGTTGGGTGACGCCTGTGGCCACCCTGGTGACCTTGGCAAAGTTGAATCTGAGAACTCCCTTCCCTGGAGTAAAAGCCAGCCTCACTTGTGCCACTAGGGCCTGGGTCTGAGCTGTCATTGGCTCCTAGGGCACAGTGTAGTGAAGGAGAAACTGGGGAAGGTAGCTGAGGAGCTGTCACCTAAGAGATCCTGCTTGGGACCACACTTTTGCTCCACTGCCAGCCTTGCTGGAACTCAGGGTCCTGCAGATCTGGATGCAGGCAGGGGCCCAGCCCTGATGCCCAACCCATCAGGCTTGGCTGCCCCCTCCCATTTATGTCATCTCTTGCAGGTCCCTGAAGCTATCCGCAAATGCCAGCGTGCTGGCATCACGGTCCGCATGGTGACCGGAGACAACATCAACACAGCCCGGGCCATTGCGGCCAAGTGCGGCATCATCCAGCCTGGAGAAGACTTCCTATGCTTGGAGGGGAAGGAGTTCAACCGGAGGATTCGCAATGAGAAAGGAGAGGTAGCCCCGCCTCCTGCCCCGCCCCACCCCACCCCTGCGCACGCTCCTGCCTTGGCTCTGCAGTGTCCCTGTGCCTCCCCAGATAGAACAGGAGCGACTGGACAAGGTGTGGCCCAAGCTGAGGGTGCTGGCCCGGTCATCTCCTACCGACAAGCACACTCTGGTCAAAGGTAAACGAGCTCGGTCACCCTCTTTCCTGTGGGCCAGCAGCAGCGCCCTTGCATGCTGTGACAATTACTTCTGGACACCCTATGCCACACTCCCCAACAGACCCTCGGCCTAGGACCCTGGCCTAGGAAGCCAGGGTCCTCAGATCTAGATCTGCTGCTTCTAGAAACTGGTGAATAGAAAATGTCCATGCAAGAAGAGGCTGCTCCCACATCAAAACAGACAGGGAACTGAGGCCCAGGAGAGGGAGGCATTTATCCAAGTCACACAGTGCAGGGCCCCTCCTTTCTACCAAATCACACCGCCCTGCTTACAGATTGCACTAGCCTTGCCCTGCCCTGTTCTGTGTTCCAGGGATTATTGACAGCACCACAGGTGAGCAGCGGCAGGTGGTGGCAGTGACTGGGGATGGCACCAATGATGGGCCAGCCCTCAAGAAGGCGGACGTGGGCTTTGCCATGGTAAGCCACTGTATCAGCCAGCTTTCCCATTGCTGGGACCAAACATCTGACACTCACAACTTAAAGGAGGAAGTGCTTTATTTGGCTCATGGTTTCAGAGCATGGTTGCGTGTATGGTGGGCTGCTCCAAGGCAGGAACAGTGCGGCGGGAAGGGATCAGAGCCCACGCTGCTCACCTCAATGGCAACCAAAAATGCAATAATCCCTGACTCAAAGTTGGAACAGTCCCAGAAGTTTTCAAAAATCTAAACACTCTTCTGAGACTTAAAAACACTTAGCTATGAACCTCTTTAAAAATAAAAAACAGGGCCCAGGGATTTAGCTCAGTGGTTCCGCCACCTGCCTCACAAGTGCAAGGTCCCAAGTTTGATCCCTGGTACCAAAAAAAAAAAAAAAAAATTATACACCCACGAGGTACAATGGCACAAGGTAAACTTTCCCATTCCAAAGGAGGGAATAGAGGAATAGAAAAGAATTGGACCAAAGCAAGACCAAAAGCCAGCGGAGCAAATGTTAAGTCCCGTAGCTCCATGTCCAGCACCCAGGGTACACATTGGTGAGATGAAAGCTCCAGGAGGCTTAGGCAGCCCCAACCTACAGCCTTGCTGATTGCATCTCACATGTCCTCACTTTGGGCTGGCTCTGATCACTGCCTGTGGCTTTCGGCGGCATGTGTCCCACATTCCTGGTATCTCCAACTTCCTAGGGTCCCCACTGTGTCTCTTGCTTCATTCCCACAGCTTCTTGTACTGGCCTTTCAGGGACTCCTGGACTGGCTTTCCAAGCCTTCCTTTGAAACCTGTGTAGAAGCCTCTGTAACCCTACAATTCTTGCATTCTGCATGCACCTGGATGACACCATGACCCGCTGCCTGTGGGAACAGTAGCCAAGCTCCCTTGGACCGTGTCCGCAGCAGCCTCTAAGTGCATATGCGTCTGAGCACAGTGAAATGAACCCAAGGGAGCCAATTCCCTAGGAGGTCCTTCTTGAGCAGGGATCCCAGGGACTCTTTTCTCAAATGAAAGCTTGACACTATTGCATCCTTGAGCCTGTGATGGGTGAGGTCTTGCTGATTTCTGAGATATCCTGAAGGCATCTTCTTGTCCCTGTAAAAAATACTTAGTATCTTTTTAAGGGTGCTAATCCCTTGAACAGCCACACCTCCTTTGGCCCCAACTCTACACACAGTTCCTTTTGGGCTAAAATTTAAGTTTTTCAGATTCTTCTGCTCTACTTTTTGCCTTGATTCTCAGTATAAATCTAGCTCAAAGCAGCCAGCAATACCCATCCCACAACCTGAATGTTGGACTGCCTTGAGATTTCCTCCTCCAGATCAATTAGTCCATCATTTATTTATTCATTTATGGTTTGGGTTTTTTTTTTCTTTTTTTCTACTCCACCACTCTTTAAGTTGTGCTTTGTTTTGTTTTGTTTTTTTGGTACCAGGATTGAACTCAGGACCTTGTGCTTGTGAGGCAGGCGTGGTGCCACTGAGCTAAATCCCCAGCTACTCCATCACTCTTTTTTTTTTTTTTTTTTTTTTTTTTTTGGTACCGGGGATTTAACTCGGGTCCTTCCATTTGCGAGGCAGGCGGCAGAACCACTGAGCTAAATCCCCAGCCCTATTCCATCACTCCTAATCTCAGTCTCCCACAAAGTCTTGGGACATGAGAAAAATATAGACAATTTTTTTTTTGGCCAGAGTGTAACACATGTGACCTCGAGTCTAATTGCCAATGGAGTCCTTGTTCCTACCTAAAACCTCCTGAATCTGGCTTTTACTGTCTAAGTTCCAACCAGAAGTGCCTATCAAACTTGGCTGATAGCATCCTAGGACTTCTCTAGCTGGCATCTCCAAACCTTTCCAAACTCCTCCTACAAACCAGTTCCAAAGGCTTCTGAACCACACGGTCACATATAGTTACAACAATGACCCCGTTCCTCTGCTGACAATTTCCTGTATTGGCTTTCTTGTTTCTGGGACATCCCAACTGAAAAGAGGTGAGGTTTAATTTGGCTCACGGTTTCACAGGACTCAGCCCATGGTCAGCTGGCTCCAGGGCTGAGATGTCATGACAGAAGGGCGTGATGGAGCAAAGTTGCTTAGTTCATGATGGCCAAGAAGCAGAGCAGGGGAGCTGTGCCAGAGAGGGAGGGGCCAGGGACCAGATATGATATCCAAGTCCATGACCCACCGAGACACACCCGGAAGTGTGCTTTGCTAATCCCCTGGGCATTTCTGAATCCAGTCAAGTTGATAAATCACTGTTAACGGTCGTGGCCACCCCATTCCAGGATAGCTTACCACCATAGATGAGCCCTGTGGCCCACGGACATTGAATTTATACCCAAAAGTGGGATTGAGGACAGGTTGCAGAGTGGTAGAAGGTTCTTTCTCTCACATCCTAATAGTCTGGGCCTGAATGGGCTCTGCCCATTAAGGGACATGTGTGTGATTTGCTTAAGGACATTTGGCATGCTGACACCTCAGGATCAAGGGGCAAGGGGCTTGTCAGTGGTAGTCCCGGCCTGCCAGCACCCACTCCTAATCCACGCTAAGTGGACTCCTGGCCCAAATGTGATTAGCAGAGTCCCCAACAGATTCATCCCCTGTATTGGGTCCCTGCTGCTCATATAGAGCTAGTGCTTCCCATAAAGCCCTGATCCTACCAACCAGGGTGGCATGCCAGGCACTGCCCCATGGCTGATCCTGGTCCTGTAGGGAGCTGTGGTTGGCAGCAGCCTGGTGAGCCATGTCCCCACCCTGTGGCAGGGAGCATCCTTCATTCAGCCCACAAGGGGCCTCGCCCAGCCTTCCCGGAGCCCATAGTGAAGGGGACACCAAGCCAAGCTTCCCGAAGCTGAAGAAGGGGCCCCATGGACACTCTGTGTGTGTTTGCGTGCCACCCCCAGGGCATCGCAGGGACTGATGTGGCCAAGGAGGCCTCTGACATCATTTTGACCGATGACAACTTCACCAGCATTGTCAAGGCGGTCATGTGGGGCCGAAACGTCTACGACAGCATCTCCAAATTCCTGCAGTTCCAGTTGACAGTCAACGTAGTAGCTGTGATCGTGGCCTTCACAGGCGCCTGCATTACTCAGGTGGGGACCAGGAACTGTCCTTCCCACAAGCCCTGGGGCTGTAGGAGGCAGCTGCTGTCTGAGGCTTGGGCTGAGGAGCTTAGGCCCGATGGTCAGGTTGAGAGCAAAGTTTTTCTCTGCTGGAGATTGTTTCTCTGTTTTGTTTTGTATTTTTGAGACAAGGTCACACTATGCAGTGATCCTCCTGCTTTAGCCTCCTGAGTGCTGGGATGACAGGCCTGCACCACCATACCAGGCTCTTTGCCACAGATTCTTTTTCTTTAAATCATATTCCCATACCAGAAAAATCACCACTGCAGGGTACACAATAAAGCTGGGGTTTAGCATATTCACAGTATTGTGCAGCCATCACTTCTCTCTATTTCCCAAACATGTTTATGGGTCCCAAAGGAAACCTGTACCCATTGGCAAGCACTTGGTTGCCCCAGCCTCTGTCTGCATGGAGTTGCTGGTCTGAACAGTTTATATGAATGGACTCAAGTAGTTTGTGGCCTTTTGTATTTGGGGCTGAAAAAGAGCCCACATGGCATCCGCCATTCCTTGCGTCTGTGCAGACTCATTTCCACGCTACTGGGCCCCATGGGGCATGCACTTCACTCTTGGCAGAGCTCTTCTACTTCCTCAATGGCCCTGTTCGCCTTGGCCACCAGAGTCCAGGATTTGTTTCCCCGTGTGGGACAGTCATGTTTGTGGTCGATGGGGAGTTAAATTATTTGCTGATCAACTTGGTCATTACAAAGATTTCTTTTAAAAATCGAGATCTAGCTGGGTGTGGTGGTGCACGCCTGTCATCCCAGCACTTGGGAGGCTGAGGCAGGAGGATCACCACAAGTTCAAGGCCAGCCTGGGTTACGTAGTGAATTCAAAGACAGCCTGAACCACATAGTGAGACCCTGTCTCAAAAAAAAAATTGAGATCTAATTTACATGACATAAACTTCACTATAATAAGGATTTGAAAGTGTACAATTCGATGTTTTTTAATATATTCATGATGTTGTAGAATCAAGGCTGCTAACAACTCCCAGGACATTCTCATCACCTGCAAGGAAACCCCGCACCCATTAGCCTTCACCCCTCAGTCTCCTCCCCCTGCCTTTGGACCCTGCCTCTGCTCTCTCCATGGACTTAACAGTTCTGGAAGTAGCCCATGAATAGAGTCACATGACACATAGCCTCCTGCCTCAGGTTCCTGTGAGGCCTAGTTTTACAGAACAACTCAGAGGGGATAACAAGAAAGTGGTGGTGTATTAGCTTTCCTGTCACTGGGACACAATACCTGACACCCAGAACTTAAAGAAAGAAAGGTTTCATTTGGCTCACAGTTTCAGGGAACTCAGTCCATGGTTGGCTGGCTCCAAGGCAGGAACATCATGGTGGAAGGATGTGGTGGAGCAAAAATGCTCAGTTCTTGGAGGCCAGAGCAGGGGAATAGCTCTAGCCAGGAAATGGGCCACAGCTGAGCTATAGACCTCCAAGTCACACCTCTAAGACCCACCCAGACACACCCACAAGTGTGCTCCACCAGTCCCTCAGGCAGGTCCAATCTGGGTGACACTGTACCTTAACCACCACAGCAGGTCAGATTCAGAGGTTTGGCCTCTTCCTGTCCCAAGGGAGGCAGGAAGCACAGCCACCACTGTGGTCCCGAAAGGAAGCACCCTGTCATTGCTTTTTGCAGGCTGGTATAACTGGCTGGGGATTTCAGCCTCTTGCTAAGGCTTTGGACTCCTTCAAGATCACTGCTGGTGGCCAGAACCTGAAATTCCAGTGGAAAAAGCCTGCCAGCCTAATGGAAACCTGAGCTGGAGATGTCCTGTGGCCTGGGGTGCTGAGCCCACACTGAGCTCTTCCCTGTGAGGTGGCTGGTGACTGTCCCCTCTCTGCAGGACTCCCCTCTCAAGGCTGTGCAGATGTTGTGGGTGAACCTGATCATGGACACCTTTGCCTCTCTGGCCCTGGCGACAGAGCCCCCAACAGAGTCACTGCTGCTGCGGAAGCCATATGGCCGCGACAAGCCCCTCATCTCACGCACCATGATGAAGAACATCCTGGGCCACGCAGTCTACCAGCTCACCATCATCTTCACACTGCTCTTTGTCGGTAGGTTGGCACTGTTGCTGTCACTGTGCGCTCGGGGCCTATGTGGCACATGCACGCCGTCAGTATCCCCAGAGCATGCAGGTGGTGACCGAGGGGGAACGGGCATGTGCCTGCGCCTCACAGCAGCCACTGTCGCTGCCTGAAGGCCCCTGAGCCCCTGAACCCTCCTCCCTCCAGGGGAGCTCTTCTTTGACATTGACAGCGGGAGGAACGCACCACTGCACTCGCCACCCTCCGAGCACTACACCATCATCTTCAACACCTTCGTCATGATGCAGCTCTTCAACGAGATCAACGCCCGCAAGATCCATGGCGAGCACAACGTCTTCGACGGCATCTTCAGCAACCCCATCTTCTGCACCATCGTGCTGGGCACCTTTGGGATTCAGGTAGCAGGGCGGGCAGGGCTCGGGCCCCAGGTCTGCCCTGATGCTGGCCTGTTTGTCTCCATTCACAGAGGCAGTGCCCAAGCTGCACCCTGACACCAGCAGGCTGCCCTAGCTTGACTGTGAGCTCGCAGCCTCCCTTCAAGGCCAGGTGCAGCCCACCCTGGGTCTGCTGAGGCCCGCCATCCCCAGCTCCATCTTCCTGGGGAAGGCTGGCATGCTGATCCCTCTGCCCAGTACGGGTGGCCGGTCCTAAAACACAGTGACTTGGAAGAAATCACAAGTGTACTAAGGTCCATGGGCCAGGAGATGATTGGCATCTTAAGATAATCCATGACACAGAGCCCAGGGGGACAGGACACATAGGGAAAGGGATCCTGCGGCTTCCCCAGGACACAATGGACAGCTACTGGGAGTGGTTTCTGCCCACCCTGGGGCAGGGGACTGTTGCATGGTTCCTATGGGAAATGCTTGCCCAGGGAAAAAGAGGGAGCAGGGCCCAAGGCAAGGTGACTCTCGTGGTCTGGGCTTGGTGACCCTCCTGTTGTGGATGAGGTGATCCTCCTGTCATACGTGAGGCTCCCTTCCTGTCCTGGGCAGGGTGACCTTCTGTTATGGGCCATGTGACCCTCTTGTTATGAGTGAGGTGGCCCTCCTGTCATCATATGCAAGGCGACCTTCTTGTTGGGGGTAAGGTGATCATCTGGTTTGTTTTGTTTTGGTACTGGGAACTGAACTCAGGGCTGCCCACTTTTGAGGCAGGCGCTGTGCCCCTGAGCTACATCCCCAGCCCAAGGTGACCATCTGTTATGATCAAGGTGACCCTCCCGTTGAGGGTCTGGTGCGTGCCTGCAGAGTGGGTGCTGCAGTGTCCCATTGGCAGAGGCTGGGAACATGGTCGGTAGCTGTGCCCCACCCGGAGGCCGGAGTTGCTAGTTACCTGGCACCCACAGGGGAGCCAGGGCAGCATGCCAAGTCCACGCTGCTCTGTCATGGAACCCCTGGCCCCATGGTGAGCGAGTCAGAGAAGCCACCTTTAGGTGTTTGCTGAGAGAGATGGAAGGGAAGTGTGCCCAGGAAGAAGAGCCCTTGCCTCCCCTGGGGAGTGGCCGCACGTGGGGAGACAGTGGTCTCTGAGCAGCCCGGCCCAGCAGGTGGGTCAGGTGAGGGCCAGGGCACAAGGGCACAGGTGCTGTGCCTGTGGCCGGGTCTGCGGCCACACCCACTCTCCCCTCCCCACAGATCGTCATCGTCCAGTTCGGCGGGAAGCCCTTCAGCTGCTCCCCGCTCTCCACGGAACAGTGGCTCTGGTGCCTGTTCGTCGGCATTGGGGAGCTGGTCTGGGGACAGGTGAGTGTCTTCCTGCTAGGCTTTCTCACCCTGCCCACTTCCGGTCAGCTCTGCTATGGCACCAGGCCTCAGAGCCTGTACCTGTGACATACCATGACCCGGCACAAAGACACAAATGTTGGCTTCCACACAGCACATGCAAATGACATGGTTGGGCTACCCCAGTCCCAGGAAGCCACTTCCTGCCCGTGAGAGCAGCCCAAACTTGCCCCTGGCTTGGAAAGTTGCCACTGTTGGATCTGAAATTCAAAATCTCCCCAGTAACTAATCTGAGGGGCCAAGCTAAGGTCTCGAGAAATTTGGAAGGCCTCTTACCAGATGGAAAGTGAAAGAACCCCATGTCCAGACCTGTGGCAAGGGCAGGTGACAGCAGTCAGCTGAGGAAGCAGCAGTCTGGGTCACAGGTGGCCTCGCCCAGCATCTGTGGGGTTTCAGGACACTAGCTGAGACGCCAAGGTCACGCTCCCTTCTCACCAAGTCCTAGTCAGCGTGGGCTGCTGGAGCTCTGAGCTACACCCTCAGGCCCTTTTCATCTTTCCACTTTGAAACAGGGTCTCACTAAGCCACTAAGTTGCCCAGGCTGGGCTTAACTTGTGATCCTCCTTGGGTTTTGTTTTTTCTTTTTTGTTTTCTGTTTTTTTCAGTATTAGGGCTGGAACCCATGGCCTGATGCATCCTAGGCAAGCACTCTATCTGTGACCTGCACCCCCAGCCCCTTTTTATCTTATCTTGAGACAGGGCCTCACTAAGTTGCCCAGGCTGCCCTCAAACATGGGATCCTCCTGCCTCAGCCTCCCAAGTAGCTTTAGGGGTGTGTCCAGCACTCTGTGGCCCTAAATCTTGCCCTTTGCTTTGGGGAGCCACATCCTCTCAGGCAGGACCGACCACCCAGGGCCCCTGAGACCTTTCCCAGGCTGCCATGGCAGCTCCTAGAAGTCCCCTGGCTAGATGGGGCCCAGCAAAGGACACCAGAGTCACCAACCAGGGTCACCAGGAAGAGGGGGCTGTGGTCTCTCCCCACCCCCTGCAGGGTCTCACGGCCACCTCTGCTTGCTGTCCCTCAACGGGGGCTCCTGCAGGTCATTGCCACCATCCCCACCAGCCAGCTCAAGTGCCTGAAGGAGGCAGGCCACGGGCCGGGCAAGGCCGAGATGACTGACGAGGAGCTGGCAGAGGGGGAGGAGGAGATCGACCACGCCGAGCGCGAGCTGCGCAGGGGCCAGATCCTCTGGTTCCGCGGCCTCAACCGGATCCAGACGCAGGTACGGCCGCCCACGTCACTCCTCCAAAGCCTGGGCCGAGAAGGGGCAGCAGCTCCAGGCTGCCCTTGGCCACCCCACTGTGCCTGCCACTGGCCGCAGCTCTGGACGGCCTCCCAACACCTCCCTTGGCAGCCAGGTGCCCCCAGCATAGGTGCGGGTGCCAGCGGACGCTGTGTGGGTGACAAGTGGCTGTCTGCTCTGCTTGTGGGCACATGGCATTCTGGAGAGGCTCCGTTTGGGAGGTGCACTCTGCCACCAAGTTGGTCCTTCCGTTTACCCACATGTCTACACATCAGGGCTGGTCAAGACCAAGGCACGGCTATACAGCCCCCCAGTCCCATGGCCACGACTCCGGCCCAGCAGCAGGCCCTTGGGAAGGCTCCATGAGCGCGTGTGCCTGAGCTTCGGGGCTTTTGGCCCCCACCCCTCGGTGGCCTACTTCCTTGCACAATGTTCCACACTTGCTGCTTCTCCACATGCTTCCCCTGAGCCTTCCGCCATCATGCTGTCCCCACCCCCCAGCCTCCAAGCCTTCCTGCTTCCCAGTCACCCTCTAGAGGCACCACTGATGCTGTGTCCCTGGTGACTCCATCACCCCTTGCCCTCTCCTGTGACAACCTCACCTGCCCAGCCCTTGCTCTGCCCTGCTGACGCACCTGGGCCTCGGAGGGGGAAGACCCTGTGGTAGCCCCACTCTTCCCTGCAGCCTCCAGGAGGTCCTGGCCCTTGTGCCACCTCATTCTCCTGCAAGGCCCTGGCCACCTTCTCTTGGGAGACAGCACCACTGGCCCTGCCCAGGGTCCTACCAGCTAAGGCAGGGCCACACTTGGCTAAGTCCCCCTTGGGATTCTGTCTGGACAACTTCCTAGGGCAGATCAGAGGCCACACCCCTCCAGCCTGGCTGCCATATATGGCCAAGGACTCGTCCCCAAGCTATCCTCGTGCCCAGGTCCAGTGTTCCCTCCTAGTGGTGTGATGGAGCCCCTGGGACCCTGGCTCCCACATTGGCCACCATACTTATCTGCCTGCTCTCTGCAAGGGCCTGAGGAGGCAAGCCTGGTGAAGCCTTTCCATGCCCGCTCCCTCCTGCCACTCTGGGGCCCTGAGTCACTGCATGTCAGAATGCCCAGAGAATGGACTCCTGTGGGGCAGGGGAGGTGGCACCAGGGAAGTCCAGGGGCCAGAGGGCCTGGACCAGCCGAGCCCCAGGAAGGAGTCTCCTCGCCATGGAGGTGCCAGTACCTCGAGCACCGCCCTGAACAGTCCAGGTGCGGCACGGGGAGTTTCTCCTTGTTCCTTCAATAAATATTTAGGTGCTAAGCTTAACCCTGAGAATTTTAGAAAGAAAGCAGCCCCGTGTCTTCCCCAGCAGCCCTCTGGGCGGGGTGGGCTCTTGTCTGGAGGACCCCAGTTTTGCCACAGAGCCCAGGCTGCCCTGAGCCCAGGAGGAGTACAGCAGGACCGTGCTCCTCATGGGCTCATTTCATTTCTGTCCACACAGCATGAGGCAGTGGCGGCCTCTGCACCAGCTGGGACAGCAACCCTGGCCCTATCGGAGGTGTCAGTGGTGGCCTGGCCACCTGTGTGCGTTGTGTCTTCGTGTGCCTGTGGGCTCGTGCGTGTTCCCTGCTGTTCTGTCAGTCCCCGGAAAGATGCTTTAGCAGTGAGGGAACAGTGCCCCAAGGGAAGGGACAGCCCAAGGTCACCAGCGAGAGCCAGAGGCCCAAGTCGCTCGTGCCTGGCCCCTCAGCACCCTGCTCAGATTTCTGAATTTTATGAACCACAAAATTGTTCCCCAGATTTCAGCGGCCTCCACAAAGTTTCCTGTTGCTAAGCAACGCACTACCTGCTCTCACCACCGGTCCATAGTAACGCATCAGGGCACCAAGCAGCATACAAGAGAGCCCTTCAGGCCCACGTTGCGCAGCTTTGGGAAGGCTTGGGCCACAGTCCTTTCACATTCCATGATCAATGAGCTCTAACAACTGGCCCTCGTTCCTAGCCCAAGGCTCGGGCTTCCGGTGGGAGGGGAGGTGGCAATGGCAATATTTTCAGTGATACAGTTATCCCATGTGGACACTGCAGAGCCAGGTGAAGCCAATGCAAATCCAAGACAGGAAAGTCATGCATCCTGTCGCCTGTCACTTTTGCCACAGTAACAGTGCTCCCTTGAGAGAGACTCATCTCTATGGCCTACAACCCTAAAATCTAGATGGAAGACCCCCCCACAAGAGACCTCGATGCCATCTCATCTGTCATCTTCCCTCCCCTTGCTCGGTGCTCCACTCCCCCAACCCCTTGCGTGCACAGTCACAGGCAGAGGGGTGCTAGGCAGGGGGAGCAGGTGACAAGACCTGTCCATGGTATGTGCGAGGTAGAAATGGCATCTGTCTGCATTTTTGAGGGGGTCTGAACACTCAAGCTGCCTTCTCCTGACACCTATGCCAGACACCACTTAGCCACTGCAGGGCTTGAGGTGGGTGGGGCAGGAAGTGAGGGTCTTGGGCCCCAGAAATGCATGCTGGCTTCACTGCTAGTGTCATCCAGAGAACTCCATGGTATTTTCCCAAAGTCCAACCTTCCCTCTCTAAGGCCAGAGCTTGTCCTCAACTTGAGATCAAAGTGTCCCTGCCAGTCAAAGGCAGAGGTGGAAATCCAAAGACATTGGGTTTCTCCTTGGGGTGCTCTGTGGGTCTCACGTTTGCAGATTCACTGAACTTCCAACTTCTGGGAAGCTTAAAGGGCAGAGACAAAGCAGGAGCCATCCTTGCTCCCCGATCCTCCACCCCTGTGGGTCCAGACAGGGCATCTAACCCTAACCCTAAGCCTCTCCTCCTGTTTGTGGAGGGTCTCAGGTAGAAGCAGGGTGACGGCCCCTGCATCAGAGCAGGGCGGGCTGGTGTAGGGACAGGCCATAGAGGCCCTGCCTGGAGTGCCAGGCCACACGCAGTGGAAGGACCCCCACGCACACACCTAGCAGCTGCCCCGGGGCCTGTCCTAATGGCAGCGTGCCATGTCCCGCAGGTGTGTTGGGGCGGCAGAAAAGGTTGAGAGCTACAGAAGTACAGTGACAGAGTATTGGCAAACACAGGCACTGACTGGGGAGTGGCTTGTACCCAGCAGAGCGTGAATGCGCGTGACTCCTCAAGCCTCGTGACCACTAAGCAACTGCCCAGCAAATGCTCTCTTGGTCACGGTCTGGCCAAAAGTGTCATCAGCTCCTGGTGAGCGGAGCTCACCTAGCTGAGGCTTCACTATGGCGACATGTCCCCAGTGTGGCCCCTGTCCTCCCCCAGCCCCGCCCCTGCAGTAGCCAGGATCGCAGTGCAAGCCAACCTTTATCTCATTTTCTCTCCCACAGATGGAGGTAGTGAGTACCTTCAAGAGAAGCGGGTCATTTCAGGGTGCTGTGCGCCGGCGGTCTTCGGTCCTCAGCCAGCTCCATGACGTAACCAATCTTTCTACCCCTACTCACGTAACTCTCTCTGCCACCAAGCCCACCAGCGCTTCCGGCAGTGAGTCTTGACTTCCCTTTTCTCTCATAAATGGCATCTGGGGGAAGACAAAGGCCCCCACTCTGCCTTCTCTTTTTTCCAGTCTTGCGTTTCTGCTCACTGTGGCTTTCTGCTCCTTCTTTGCTGCCCTGTCCAGCCCTCCCGCCAGACGGCGTCTTTCCCAAGCCATACATGCTCTTATGAGATGTACCGAACCCAAGGCACTGCCTGCCAGGCCTGGCGTCCTTTGCTTTGTTGGGGTTTTTAGTTTGCATTTAGTGCTCCTCCTGCCATTGATTTCCTTTTCTCGAACTTGTCCGTATGTGCCGACGGTTCTTCATGAACTCAGGCCTCTTCTGGTGGCGTCTGGTGGCAGGCAGGGCCTCACTCGCGCGTTGTTTCACTGCTGAGGGTCAGGGAGGTGCCCAGCCCAGGGCTGGAGTGGGTGGCAAGTACCTGCCGGGCGTGTGGCATCATTTGCAGCCGAAGAGTCCAGTCCACCTCCTCGGGGACGAAAGCAGCAGCTTCCAGCATTTTCCTTGAGGTGGCTTCCAAAGGATGCCATCGTCATCTGTCCCCAGGTGGGCTCAGTGGTGGCACTGGATGTTAGAGGTGTCTTGAGAAGTAGGGTGACCACCCTGCCTTGTGTTCCCGAAGCACCTTTGCTCTTTCCAAACAGGCCTCGGGACTGCCAGGTCTCAGCCCGGAGAAATCTCTCCCTTCAGCACGTTTCGAGGAACACGTTGTAAGGAGAACTCGGGGCTGTCCTACGTAGGCAGAAACATCCCTGACCACTCACATCTTTCCACAAAGACAAAGCCAAGGCCACTAGACCACGGACCCTGCCATCCCCCGCTTCCCCCAACAGGAGACAATGCAGGGAGCCAGGTGGGGTCCCCTCCCACCCGGGCAGCCTGCTTTTGTAACGAGCTCAGATTTCCCAGAGCAGACAGTAGACCTTGGAGTGCGAGCCCGGAGCCCTGCCGCGCGGTGCTACTCTTCCTTCCAGTGAGCCCGCAGTGCCCGGCCGCCCTGCCACCCTAACCACGCCTTCTTCCCACCACAGACGCTTCCAGTTTCTTTTGGCTTGATTTCTTTCTTTTATTTGTCTTTTTTTCTTTTTCTTTTTTCTTTTCTTTTCCGTTTTTTTTTTTTTTTTTTTTTTTTTTTAGGAACTGGTGAGAGGTCCCCAGTGGGGGCGCCTGTCCTCTTGCTTAAACTTCCCTTTCCGGCCACTCTGCCCTTTAAGGAAAGGATGGGACCACCCCAGGGACAGCACGGGGACCCTCTTCTCCAGCTTGCTCACCCACCCGCTAGGCCACCCACCTGGCCACACCCAGAAGAGGGCCTAGAGGGGCCTTCCCCCATCCCCTGGGTCACTTACGCATCAAACCAGCACCTGGCCCCCCAGTACACGTTGGCCAGGGCACGGGTGGGCCCTGGGAACTTAGGGCCAAGACAGACGGGGGTCCCTTCCCTTCCTCCCTGCTGATTTCCGCCATACTTTCCTTTGTCATCTCTCTGAGCTTCCTGTCCATCTGTCCTTCTGCCCACCTGCGGACGGGGGAAAGGCAGCTGGCAAGGCCCTCTCTCATGCCCCTCACACCTTTTCCACAGCTCTGGCCAGGTCCCGCCCGGGACAAACCCAGGCAACACTCCTGGCCCACACCTCCACCACTAGGCGACGCTCGCTGGGAGCAGCCTCTCCCTCCTTTCTTCCCTGCCTTCCAGCAACCCCCCTTCCTTCCTCCTGCGGCCATCTATCCCTTCCTTCCCATCTCCAGAAATCAGCAGCACTCGGTAAGTACAGTGGAAGGACACCTCCCCTCCTGCCGATCTTGAGCTGCCCCTGGTGACCTAGGGCCTTCTGAGGAGGGTACGGGGAAGGCGCAGGGTTCCAGTGACCTCTAAGACCCGTCCCTCCACACAGGAAGGTGCCGGTTGGGCACCTGCTTCTGGAAGCCACTGACCAAAGCCACTCCTGCCATCGCTACCGCATGGCAGATAGGTTTACAATTCGGAAGCCAAGCCCCACTCTGAGTTTGGGAGACCCCAAGAAATCCCCAAGCCCAGCACTCTCGTCTTATGAGTCAAGGAAAGGCAGGTACCCACAAAGCCCAGGAGATGCCCACAGCTCCCTAGGCAGCCAAGCCTGGCAGAGGGGATGCCCTCCACCCTCTCTCTTGCCTTGGAACTTTCTGGAAGACCAGAGCTGCTCAGAAGGAAAGCAAGGTGAAGGCCTTGAGGAGCGCCCCAAGGCAGCAGTGTATACAGTGGTGTAGTCACAGACTGGCAGCCAGGCCCAAATGTGCCATGAGTCCCGGGGCTCCTGGGAAAGCCACAGTTCCACCCATGCACAACGTTCTGTCCTCTTCACCTGCCAAGAAGGCCCAGGGTACTGCAGGGGTCTCGTGAAAGAAGGCCATTCTCGCCCTGTGTCCTCAGGGCCGATGCAGGGTGTGGCCGAAGGGAGAGAGTGAGCAGGAGGATCCTGCGCTCTGGTAGCCCCTGTGCCCAGAAACTGCACTGGCGGCAACCCTGACTTCAAGCTGCAGAATGGTCTCTGTACCCCTTTCCCACTCACAGCCCCTTCTCCCAGGCTAGGCGCAGGGCCTCTGCCGCATGTCATGTAGCCTCTAAGGCCTGGGTGGCCCTGGAAACTCGGGGACTTCACAGTCCTATTCCCCGTTGGGGCATCTATCAGGCACCCCTTCCCAGCCAGGCACACGCGCTGAGGCTGCCAGAACCTCAGCATCTCTCCACTTGGGGCAGACATCTTCAGGGTGTGCCTGGAGATGGGATGTTGTGGTCATCTGGACTCGCCCAGGACACCATACCTCTGCCTCCAGGTGGGAACAGGAGGGTGCGCGACCTAGTGTCCTGGCACCGCCCAAGCCTGAGGGCTCTGGTCGCCTAAGGACCCTTTGTGCCTGTTTTCCTGGGGATACACAGACACGCCCGGCCCCTCCAGAGCCAAGGTCCCTAGCCTGTTCCCTAATGGCTCAGCTCGCCCTGATGGCAGCCAAGTGCTTACTGTTGCAGTTGTTCAGGGACTGGCTCCTGACTCAGCCCAGAAAAGGGCAGGCGGCCAGTGGGTTTGATTCCCTGTGGCCAGGGGGGCTCCCTCCAGGCCCTGAGTTTTGATTGACCATGTGGAAACAGATCACAGCCTTGCTTTAGTCCAGCTGGCTTTTGCAACATGCAAAGCTTCGGCCCAATGGGACCAAATCCCACCAGGTGAGCCTCCAGGGCTTTGCTTGTACACAGCTCTCCAGAGCCCAGGGGGACATGTGCAGCACACGCACAGGCCCATGTGGAGGGAGCTGGCCAAGTGAAAGCCGTCTTGTTTTCTGGAGTTGGCACAGTTGTCAGAAAGTGGAATGATGTTGAGCGGAATCTCCTGGCTGGGTTTCTGGGAATGGTGTATTGGCATTTTCTCATAGACATTTGACAGTGTGCACCCTGCCTCCTCCACACTGGGAAAGCAGTGGGGGCCCTGCCCAATCCCAGGCCTTCCACAGAGAAACAGGGCTTCAGGGAATTCTTAAAGCACATGTCAGAATGCAGCTAGGGAACCCCCAGGAGCCCCACTCTGACCCTTCCTAGCATGCAGGGCCCCAAGACAGGCAGGGCTTATCAAGACTTCCACCTGTGCCCTCCCTCATCTGGCCACCAGAGCAGCCTGGGCTCAGCTACTGATGCCCAGAGCTCAGGTCTGGGCTTGCATGGTCCCAGGCACGATGGGTACATGTGGGGAGAATGGGAGGCAATTGTCATGAAACTTGCCAGTGTGCACAAAGCCGTGTCTGCTGTGATCCCTCCATGAAAAGGCCAACTCTGGAGTTTGCATTTCCAGTTTCCTGATCAAACATGTGACCCCCCCCCGTGAGGAGGAAAGGGGCTTCCCCCCTGGGTGCTCCCCCAACCCAGACAAAAGAAGCCAAAGCCAGTTTCTGACCCATCCCTGCTCCTCAAGAGCATTCTGCAGTGGAGGTCAGCCCAGAGCAGTAGGAAGCCAGTGGAGGGGCCGGAGGGGGCTCCCCAGCACCCCAGCAGCAGTGGGTGGGTGGACTTGATTTCTGCCTGAGGAACTAGTAGGAAGTGGTGAAAAGCACTCAGGCAGTTGCTGTCATTACTGTCATCATTGAAGCTCAGGGGCCTTTGCTTTTATGTCTCTTCTTTTGTTTCCCTTTTCCGTTCTTTTACTGGGCCAGGTGTTCTTTGGGTCCCTCACTCATCCCCTGCTCCCACACCCCTGCCCCACCCTCTCCCCGCCTGGCACCCAAGGCCTCTTGGGGACAGATGGCACTCCTAGGCCCTGGGCGTCTCCTCAACAGCAGATGATTGACAGGGTGAGGGCTCAGGGCAGATGATCCCAGGCTCCAAAGGCAAGAGGGCCTCAGGGTGTGAGGATGGACATTTGAGCCAAGTTAAGCGTGAGGAGAGAGGCCAGCAATGGGTTATCTGCAGCACTTTAGGGCAGTGGTCTTGGCCTGGCAGGGGTGGGGGAGGCTCCTGCTTGGAATGTTCTGGAAGAACTCCAGCCAGCTGGTGGCAGAGAAGTGGGTGGAGAGCCTCGGGAAGACAAGGACCAGGTGGGTGAGTCCCTGACATTCTTTACACCTTGCTGGGTGCTGGGGTTCTCAGTGAGCCCACAGACAAACCCCTGCCCTGGAGGGACATGTTCCAGCAATAGGCCAAGGAGCGAATACTGGGGTGCAGGGCACCTTTGAAGGGAGCATATGAAGTGGAAGTGGGTAGGAGGGTCCTGGGGGGGACAGGGAAGGGCTCGCTAAGGGGGAAGAACATTCTGGAATAGCCACAGTGCGCCATGGCCTTCAGCATCTTGAACACTGCAACAGCTGTGTGTCCTTCCATGTCCTGCCCAGGGCCTGCCTGCACCTGGCTCTGTCTTCCTCAGGCTGCCTTGCTGGAGGGGGCGGGCAGGCAGCAGACCCTGCCATGTTGGGGACTTCTGGGCACAGTGGAGAAAATAAAGCATCAGCAGCCTGCTCAGGGCCACTGGCTATGATGGAGCAGGGCACAGAACATGGGGCAGCAGCTGCAGGGAACCGTGGGGTGACTTAATAAGGGCAGAGGAGCTGGCAGGGCAACATCGCCCCACAGGGCCACCACCCCAGGATGCATCTCTCCTGCACACTCCTTCGATTTCTTTTTTAGAGACTTCACTATGGGAAGGTGGGCTGTGGGGGGTAGCATTCAATAAGGGCCAGCTCTGGCAACTTTGAGAAGGTTTCAAGCCAGGTTGGGGAGCAAGGGCGTTGGAGTTTGTGGCCAGCAAGAGCTTGGAAATGTCCCTAGGAGAAGGGGCAAAGTGGGCCAGCACAGCAGCCTTAGCTAGAGCCCTTAGCCAGGAGCTGTGTGCCAGGCACCAAGGAAAAAGTGATGCCCAGGTGTCTGCCAGATGGCTGTGGGTCCCCGGGGGCCTCCGGACCCCCAGGTGACAGTGGAGATAGGGAAGGGCATGGGACAGGAGGACAGTATGGCACACAGGGCCCAGTGCCTGGCTCGGAGAGGCTGAGGGCCAGGTGGGTGGGAGCAAGGATGCAAGCAGCCCAGGAAGCATGGGGTTGGGGGGATCCCTGGGAGGCAGCGGGTACAGATCCTGGCTGCAGGTATAAAGGTGGACACAGAGGTCTGCTGGGCTGTATGTGGCACTGCCAGCATTGAGGCTGTCAAGGTCCTCTTGGGAGGAGTAGAGATGTGGATGCATCTCGGGCAGGACCCCTGTGCTGGAAACCCCACTCCAGCCTGGGTCCGAAAGCCACCTCCAGGACCACCCTCTTAGGACCATTCGATGGTTTTCAAGGAGCCCATTTCCCAGAAGTTGCCTGCACCCTTCCACCTTCGGGTGGGCTAAACATGCCCAGGATCTGAATGGGAGAAACAGGCTGGAAAACATTCATGATGACCTGGCCTGGGCTTCAATCCCCCCAGGGGCCCAGCGGGCGCACTATGCCTGGCAGATGACATGAGAGAGGAGCATTGGGGGCAGGGACTGCCCTGTGGCTCGGCTGCCCTTTGCAGGGAAGGACTTTGGAATTCAGTCAGGTGCAGTGAGACCAGCGGATAGGTTTGAGCAGGAGCCTGAGTGCGTGACCCGGGTCCAAATGAGGCCACCTGCTCAGCAAGGAGGAAGGTGTGGCCAGGGTCCTGGGCACGTTAGTGACCAACTTCTGAAACACATCCAAGGTCAAGGGAGGCAGCGTGCAGCTTTGTCTCTTTCCAGTGACTTAATGGGCATGGCCGACAGCCAGAGTAGGTGATGTCCCTGGCCCAGAGAACCTAACCTGTGGGGCCACGTCTGAGCTGGCTGGCTGCAGAAGTGAATACGGTCCTCATTAAAACAGTCAAAGGATTCTCAACATCTGTGTTACTCCTATTTCAGAAACCTTTCTAGGGGAAAGGCTCGAGGGAGAACAGCTGAGACCATCTGTAATCGGGCAGATGTGGCTTCAAGCCGGGCATGGTGGTGCATGCCTGTCATCCCAGCACTCAGGAGGCTGAGGCAGGAGGATCCCCAGGAGTTCAAGGCCAGCCTGGGCTACGTAGTGAGTTCAAGTCTCACTTGGACTACATAGTGAGACTCCGACTCAAAAATCAAAAATTAATAAAATATGGGCCGGGGATGTCCCTCAGTGGTGCCGAGCCTGCCTGGCAAGTGCAAGGTCCTGAGTTGGATCCCTGGTACCGCAAAAATAAATAAACAAATAATAATAATAATAACATAAAAAGATGTGGCTTCACCAAGTCCAGGAAAATCCAAAGTGGATTTCAGATGTAGAGCTAGAAAAGTCAGACTGATTCGATGGGGCTTCTGGCGCGCTTCTGCACTCCAAAGACGCTAAGGTTTGCCTCACTTAAACTGATCTAGGAGCTGTGCTTGTGTTATCTGAACTGGGGCCGGCCAGCTGCCCCTCTAAAGGCCCAGAGAGTGCATCGATTTGACTTTTGGGCCAGGCAGCAGCACAGACCTCACCTAGATGAACAGCTGCAGCCACCTGCCAATAAAACTTTATTTACAAAGCCAGCAGAAGGCCAGAGTTAGCCCTCAGGCCAGAGTCAGCTGACATCTCATCTAAAGCAAGGAGCCAAGTCCTAGGGCCTCTTAATGTGTCCTCCTCTCACATAAGAAGGGCTCGCTGGGGCCAGCGGGCAGGGAGGGCAGTCGGCTGCCTCTGCAGCTGCTGTCGGGATGGCTGGCATTGGCCCAGCAGAGGCCACCCATGAGGGCATGAGATCCAGGCCAGGGGCAGAGGGCCCAGTGGCAGGGGAGTTGTGCTGCTCTGGTGGCTGGAAATGAGGGTGGGGACCTTCAGGGGATATGCCCAGCATGGGAAAGCCTGCGAATGCCTGAGTGGAGGAGGGGTCAGGGTGAGAGAGGCTGAAGGAGCAGGTAGCAAAGGTCTTCTGGTGGCACTGAGGATGCAACTGACCCCCTCAGACACATGCAGCTTCAGCGTGGGGCTGAGGAGACCCAGCAGCCTAGGCAGGGCAGGTGTGGCGTGTGCAAGTCACAATGGGGTCTTTGCAACCTTGGCCTCCAGGTGGGGGACCAGGGCAGAGGTGGTGTGCACAGAGCAGGACAGAGGAGGCCAAGTGGGAGTGATGTCGGAGCCTTGAGCAGTTTCCAGAAGGGGGAGGTCAGCTGTGTTGGGTACATGAGAACTGCTGTCCTGATGGGCCTGGGCATGGCAGGAACTGGCTGCAGCCACAGGAGCCAAGGTCCCTAGAGAAGCTTGAGGGGAACCATGCCATGGAGGCCAGCAATGCCCACAGACCAGGCGCTATCCCTCCCCACAAGGTACTGCAGACTGTCGCTAGGACACCCTCCCCACATTCTCCCTTGTTCTAATTATCTCTCATTTCGACCTGATTGGAATTCAGACTGGGCAGAGACCCAGGGGGCCACATCAGGGCCTAGGGAGGTGGCAGCCGAGAGCCAGGCCAGTCGTGTTTCCCGCATGTGGGCATTGTCGCCAAGCCCGAGACCCAGCCCCTCGAGCCCCCACTCCCCACTGCCCCCTGGATGCACACCCAGTGTGTCACAGCACCTGCCACTGACTGTCTCCTCTCCTCTCTTCCCCTTCCCTCCTCTCTCCCTCCCTTTCTACCCTTCCGCCCTGCCTCGGGACCCTGCCTCCACCCTGCTCCTCCAGATCCGGGTGGTGAAAGCGTTCCGTAGCTCACTCTATGAAGGCCTGGAGAAACCAGAATCCAAGAGCTCCATCCATAACTTCATGGCAACGCCTGAGTTTCTGATCAATGACTACACCCGCAACATCCCACTCATCGATGACACGGACGTGGACGAGAACGAGGAGCGCCTGCGCGCTGCCCTGCCTCCATCCCCCAACCAGAACAACAACGCCATAGACAGCGGCATCTACCTGACCACGCATGCCACCAAGTCAGCTACCTCTTCAGCCTTCTCTTCCAGGCCCGGGAGCCCCCTCCACAGCATGGAGACGTCACTCTAACCAGGACTCCTTTTGGTACACGCATTCGGACTCACATGCAGTTGCACACGCGTGCATACATGCACGTGAGCGCGCGCACACACACACACACACACACACACACAGAGGGCAGCCCACACACCTGCCAAGAGGGAGACCACTACAGTGACTGAAGACTTTTTTTGGCATGGCGTTTGCAAGAAGCCAAATCCATTCAATAAGGGTGTAGTCAGTCAGCCTTCTCATCTCAGACAGAGGAGGAGTGGGGGGTGTCGGAGAAGAGGCGGAGAAGCTTCTTCCCCAGGTGGGAGGAAGAAAGTCATGAAGAGACCTGCGCTCCCCACCTTTTACCTATAGATGCATCTTTTTTAACGAGCACGGCAGTTAAATCGAGTGTGCACCACTTGGGCTGTGCATTGGGCAGGGCAGCTCTGGGCTTATTGGGTGCTCTGTTACACCTGAAAAGGAGCAATCAGCTCAACACATAGGCACCACAACCAGGCGGGCCCTCCGCAGGGTCCAGGAGGGTGGCACTGCTCATACAGGTCACCAGAGGGAGCCACCTGCAAACGTACCTGCAACCACGAAACAACTGACCTGAGTGCACATGGCCCAACTGCAGACCACAGTGTGTGCGTGTGCGTATATGTGTGTGTGTGTGTCTATATGCATACACATACATATACGACAAGATGCATAGTTCAAGAATAAGGAGCTCTTTATTGGCATGATATTTCCATTCCTCTTACCAGGTGTTTTCCTTTTGAGATTTCATTATTGAATGTAGGAGGTTTTTTTCAGGGACACAGCTGCAAGAATATTTTCCTCCCTAGCCCCATGCCCCTCAGGACCCCCTGTGCCACTGCTGCCCACAGCTCAGCCCTCATGAGATGCCCAAGGAGGAGGTGTGGGGAGGGATGCTCAAGGCCGGGAGGCCTTGCCATGGGAACATTTGCACTTCCAGACCCTGCATCAAGGAGAAAAACCTTGCCGTGGGATTGTCACTGCAAAGCAAAATACCGGTCTCGATGAGCATGGTACCCTCCCTTAGACATTTCAACCGCAAGTCCTGCATTCTGGCAGACACAGGAAGCTGCCAACGCCCCAAGCTGGAGAGTGTGAAGCACCCAGTGCTGGGGGTGGCCACACCCATCCTGTCTGCTGCAAGGGTGGGGCCAGAACCCACTGTGGGTCTCTGGAGCAGAGGTGGTCTGCCCCCATGCCAGGAGCCCGCCTAGGGCCCAATCAAGACCCCACCACTCTCGGCACCCTGGCTGGACGTGCACTTCGTGTTCTGGCAATGCCAGGAAGTGCTGACCAGGCCACTCCACTGCGTGCTGCAGCCTGGGAAGTGCCACCCACCGGAGCTCACTTCCAAGCCTGGTCTTCTCATCTGGAGGACAAATGTGAAGGCATGGCCCTGAGTCTGTGCCACTTCCAGCAACAGCAGAGAAGCCACGCCTCGTGGAGCAATGACATTTCATTGCTGTCACCGTCACTCTTATCACACCAGGGGCTCTTCTAAGCCCACTGTGGCGGAGTGTGGGTGCAGCAGTGCTCAGGCCCACCCAGGCAGGTGGGGCTTTTGGGAGGCACCTCTCCTGGCGGTGTGACACTTAGCATGCCAAGCCTCAGTTTCTCCAGGATGAGTGATAACCTGAAAGGAGAAGGCAGGGAAGGCAGAGGTAGAGGGCCCTGATGTCTGCTGTCCTCCTGTCCCCCAGGAAACAGGCCTCTTCCCCATGGATTGCCAAGTCTCCCTCTGCCCCCAGGTCTGCCGCAGTGATGTCAGTGAAATGGGCAGCACCTTGCCATGAGCTTCCTTGAGCTTCTGAGCTCCCGGCTGTCATGCTTTGTAGGGCTTGGGCTCAGCTGCAGATTGACACCCTCAGGAGCTGGGCCTGTCACCCACACACACCCTGCATCACCTCCCTAGCATCTGCCCAAAGCCAAATGGAAATGTGCTTGGTGACCACCATTCACACGAAAGCTGTCACCCCTGAGCAGTAGTCGAATCTCGGGCAAAAGGATTTTGGTTTGAAAGCAAATCCCACTTTAAAATGCCAGCTACAGATAACTTAAAGCCATCCCTTTTTTCTAAAGGGCACATTGAGAATGTTACCCATTTGTAAATTGTCCCCTCATGTCCTTGTTTAAACCGCCACAACCTGAAAGGCAACTCAATTTCTGGAGGGTCTTTGTGTTCCAAATCATGTGTCAGTCCGAGGGTCAGCTGGAGATGGCCACGCTCCTGGGCTTCTTCCCATCCTCCATTGTAGACATCGATAGAGCAAACCCTCACTGGCACCGCGTCCTGTCGCCTGGTGCAAATGTTGCCCGTGTGGTCCCTAGGGTGCCTTTGAGCTGGGCCGTGGGGTACGCAGAAGGGGCACGGAGGACTCGTGATCTTTCACTCTGGTTCTTGTACAGTCTTCAGGCCGAGGGACTGTCTCATCCGGAGGCCCCTCTTTCTAAGCATTATATTATCCAGAATGGCTTGGTCAACTGTGTTCAGTTAATAAATGTTTTACATTTTTATCTGCCTATTATAAAGATGAACAAAAATATCTTAATGAGGAAGACCACAGATGCTTACCAATCTAAAGTCTGTAGCTGAATTTCCTAATTTAAAGAATAGACCAAAATCTCTGTGTATAAAAAAAAAAATGAAAGGCTCTTACAACCGTGGCCTGGGTAACACGTGTGATTCATTGCTTGGGGGAATCTTGTACAGAACCAGGGGTGCCTTTGTGGCCCTGGGCCTGAGCCACTGGGCCAGAGCACTGCTGAGCTGCTGGGTCCTTCTGCAGAGGTGACAGATGGCCCATCTTGTGACTTGCTTGACACAGCGGAGCCTGCAGTGAATGTCAGGCCAGCACCCTCAGATGCCACAATTCAGCCCCAGCACACCAAACCTAACACCAGAACTCCTTACTTTTTAAAAATTGTGATAAAGGGCCGGGGATTTAGCTCAGTGGTTCCGGTGCCTGCCTTGCAAGCGCAGGTCCCAAGTTCGAACCCCGGTACCAAAAAAAAAAAAAAATTGTGATAAAATATACATAAGATGAGTGCAGTAGCACCTGTCATTCCAGCACTGGGGAGGCTGAGGCAGGAGGATTGCCACATTTGAGGCTAGCCTGGGCTACTGAGTTCAAGGCAAGCCTGGACTACATAATGAGACCCTCTCTCAAGAAAAAACATATATATATATATACACACACACACACACATACACACATGACATAAAACTGACCATCTCAACACTTTTGATCTACAGTGCAGGAGCTAGAATGCGGGCCTCACACATGCCAGGCAAACACTCACCAGAGCCCACCCCAGACCCTCAGCCATTTCTACATGTGGCACTGACCGCATTCCCAGTGTCCTGTGACCTCACCACTCCCTACTTCCAGAACCCTAAGCAAACCCTCACAGTCCCCAGGAGCCACCAACTCCCCGTTCCGCCCCTGACCCCATCCTCCATTCTCTGGTCTGGCTGTAAACTTGGCTGGCCCTAGTGCTATCACAGCAGGTCCCTCGTAGAGGTCATCAGAGTGTCCTTTTGGGAATGGCTTGTTGCATAGGGCATCCATGTTTCAGCATGGGTCAGGAGGGTGAGTAACAGATGTGTGGGAACAGGCCCAGCCCCAGAAGGGTACTCAGTGGCTCCCACCTTTGGGCCATGATCATAAAGCTGCTATGAGCATGGGTTTCCATGCAGCTCTCTGAGCTCCTGCTTTCGACCTCACTGGAAATGGCTGTCTGCTCAGCAGTGGCCCTGCTAGGTCCCCTGACAACTCTACCTTCGCCACAGCAGCCACACCATTTGCCACGCCCATTAGCAGGGCAGGAGGATCCCAATCAGACCTCCACTGTACTCCTAGCCATGGAACAAAGCCCCTTGCACTCATTCATTTCTGGGCTCCCGGATCCCTCTGAAGCCCTGTGCGTGTGGACAGCTCATCTTCGAGTCAGGCACTCAGACTCGCCGATGTGCACTGGAGCACTGCCCCGTCCCTTGTTTCATGAGTTGCCACCCTTTAGAGCTGGCAGCACCACAGGACACACTTGGCAGGGCAGCAGCGGAGAAAGGAAGATGGATTCAAAGTGCCCTGAGCCACCTGAGCCTGTGCTTCTCCAGCAGGTGAAAGGATGCAGCAGAGCACTGTTTCACTGCTAGGTGAATACACCTAGGACAGAAGGCTGAGTCAGTCTAGGCTGGCCACACTCCACACCAAGACAGCTGGCACCATATGGAGAGAGATTATGCTCCCCCTAAAGAACTAGAACTTGGGCCTGTGACCTCTCTTGTCCTGAGACTTCTCTATCAAGTATGACACAGGTTCCCATGGTTTGGGGCAAGGAAGTCCCACAGCGGCAGAGCCCTGGGAGCCTGTGTGAACGTCCTGGGGCTGCTGTCACGGACTTCCACAAACTGCCAGGGTAAAACCATAGAAACGAAGGGGCCGGGGATTTAGCTCAGTGGTTCTGCCACCTGCCTCGTAAGCGCAAGTTCCCAAGTTCGATCCCCGGTACCAAAACAAACAAACAAACAAACAAACAAAAACCACCATAGAAACGAGCTGGGTGTGGGAGCACACACCTGTCATCCCAGCACTTGAGGCTGAGTTCAAAGCCAGCCTCGACTACATAGTGAGATCTTGTTTCAAGAAACCAAAAAAATTTAAAAAGAACCAGAAATATCTCCCCTTCTAGTTCAGGAGGCCTGAAGTCCAAACTCGAGGAGCCGGGAGAAATGGCAACAGTTCTGGATCTTTCTCTTGGCTTCTAGTGGCGCCAACGATGTGCAGCATTCCCTGGCGGGTAGACGTGTCACTCTGGCCTCTGCCTCCATCTTCACATGGCCTTGTCCTCTCCTGTCTTCTCACGGTGCCAACCTGGATTAGAGTCCACCCTAAGCACCTCATCAACTTGGTGACGTGTGTCAAGACCCTAGTTCCAAATATGGTCCTCTCTGCAGGCTGCAGGGCTTAGGATGTGGGCAGATCTTTTAGGGGACACAATTCAGGGCACCAGGTCCGGCCTAGGGTTGGCCTGCCTCCCCCTCCTGCCCCAAGCAAGCCTCGGCCATTGATCGCATTACCTTGGGTTCCACAATATCTTATTGCAGGAGCTGAAAGGCTGTACGTCTCTCCTCTCCTTTATTTTTTGGAAAAGCCTCGGTAATAGGAATCAAAGAAACAAAAAGCGAAAACAAACAGAACAAAGTAAAGTAAAAGCCAACAGAACCCCCAACCCTATGAACAATGACTTGAATTTCACAGCACGTAGAACAGGCTCGAGTCCCACATCCCGTGGGCCCTGATGGACACAGGCTGGCTGTCGTATCAGGAAAACCACAGACAGGCCAGGCAGTAAGCCCTGAGCTGACAGGCCCAGCAGCCAGCGCACAAATAACACTGAGCAGAGCTGGTGAATCCCCACGGCAGGCAGCGTGACAGGCAGAGGCAGGGGAGGGAGTTTAAAAGTCATTCGGTGCGAACTGCTCAATCTGCAAAGTGGGAACTGAGTCCCATGAGAGGAACTGGCCTCACACTTGATCGCCATGAAGGGAAATACCAAGTTTTCCGGGCCTGCGGGGCACTCTCAGCCAGGGCAAGGGTGCTCGCCCCAATTCCTCTCCTTGCTGCTACGTCCTGGGGAGAGGCTGGGGAGGGACACAGATGGGAACAGCAGCAGAAGAGCATGGTCCCTTCCAGGCTTCCAGGCTTTCCGAGGGCTGAGAGTATCACGCTTGGTGGCCCAAATGAAGTCACAAGTGTCCAGGCACAGGCCTGACAGGACCCCGGGAACCACTGCCAAGGTCCATTCAAGGAGGCAGAAGGCACAGGCAATAGCAGGGCAAGGGTCGCCCCAGAGCCCTGCCCACCAGGGAGCAGGTGGCAGATCTGGGCTCTGACCCTGGCCTCCAGGAGCTCTGGGTGTACCAGGTGGATGGATGTGAAAGGGAACCATCTGGGGGCAGTGTAAACACTAAGCACACCAATGGGTGCCAGAGGCCAATCCCCGTGGAAAGTGTCACCCCATGCTGGGTGTTCATGGAGTTCATGCCAGGCTGCCATCCTGCACACCCGAGAGTTGGTCTTTTGGAAGGGCCTGGCGTGGCGCTCGGGGTACACCTTGGTGTCTGTCTGGACTCTACTCAGGACTTCCGGCTGCCCTGGGATCCCACCGGCCTGCCCAGGTGCCAGTGAGCCACCCGAAGGCCCCTGCCCTAGCGCTGTGCCAAGCACCGCAACGAAGAGCAGGGGCATTTTGAGGGAAACTGAGTCTCAGAGAGCAGCATGGGTTTCCGAGCTAAGACAAAGGGGCTCTGTTGATTTGCATTGTCTTTTATTATACAAAATAAAATTCCATCTATATCACATGTCAAACTTTCTACAAGTCTGACTTTTAAAAAACCCCTAGGGGTGCAGTCCCGTCTGTCCTCTGAATGCCCTGCCAGTGACATAGTGCCTCAAGTGCAGAGTCCTCTCAAAGGACTAAAGCAGAAGTGCCGCCTGGGCAGCAGCACATGGGGACCGTGGCTGCTGGGGACAGTCAGAGCGGCAGCATGTCATTGCCTTCACCAGCCCGCCTCCAGCAGCACAACCAGTCCTCCCAGCTGGTCCTCTGGGGACCAGCCGTCACAGCGATATGGTGGCACCATCCCCAGGCAGCTGGCCATCCTGGGTTTCTCTTTGGGTAGGCCTGGGCCAGGGCCTTAGGGGATCTCTGTGTCCATGGAATAAATCTGAATGAGATCAGACACAATATTATCAATCATTGGCTTGGTAAGGTCGTCACTAAACACCTAGGAAGGAGAAGGAGAACAGGTTCCAATTAGACGCCTCTGTGTTTGACAAGCACTGCTACTAGCACAGCTCGGCGTGTCCCAAGCAGGCGGGGACACAGGGCTCCAACCTGGACCACCCCAGATGGACAGGACAGAACACTTGGGTGACAGCCAGCCCAAACCACAGGCTCCTGCCTCCTACCGGGGGACTCTGTCAAGCCCAAGGCCCCTAGGGATGCTGCTGCCGACAGGGAGGGTGGGGTCCCCCTTCCAGACACAGGTGTCCAAAGGCACCTGGGCCCCACTCCCAAATGGGCCCCGCCTGGCCCACTCCCGAGGGGCACCTAGAGCACACGCGTCCTTGGGGCCTAACTCCCAGGACTGGGCCACACCGTGAGCCTGGGGGCCCACCCTGGCAGGGACTAAGCCCCCACAAGACCCTGCCGGGTGAAAGTGCCCTAGTTTACCGGGGCCTGAGGTCCTGCCAGGCAGTCTACGCTGGCACCACCATGCACGTAGGCACCTTGGGCAGCACAGTGCCACTCGGCACTCCCAGCCTACACCACCCACCCGGTAAGACCCCCAGACACAGGGCTCAGGGGGGCTTCCTGGGTGACAAGGCCGCACACAAGCCGCCTGCACCTCACCTCCCAGGCCCCCAGACACTCCCGCCTGGCCACTCCTGGCCCCTGCCCCAGACACCTGCACCAGGGTGTCCTCTTGTTAACAGTCTGTGGGGTCCCAGAGTCCCCTGTGAGCCAAGCCTGCTGCTTCGGGGGACCCCTGACAAGAGGAAGTAAAAAGCAAAGCAACAATCCCGTGGCCAAGAGGACTGCCAGGGAACAAAGGCACCTACTAGGTTAAGGCCTTGGGTGACCCGAGGCAAGAACTGGACCTTAGTCTGCCTGCCCTAAATCCCCTAAGGAAAGAAGGCCCCTCCGCAGCCCCCAGCCCATGTGTCCTGGGGACCCCATGCTGAGACATGACCATCATCCAAAAGCCCAAGAAATAAAACAAAAGCCAAGTGCGGGCCAGGGATGTAGCTCAGTGGTGCCACCGCCTGCTTCGCAAACACAAGGTCCCGAGTTCAATGCCCCATACCAAAAAAAAAAAAAAAAAAAAAAAAAAAAAAAAGCCAATTGTCCATGGCCAAAGGGTAGCAGCTCACCATGTGAGTATCTGTGGATGAGTGGCGCACGCCTGTCATCCCAGAACTAGGGAGGCTGAGGCAGGGGGATTGCGGTGAGTTCAAGGCCAGCATGAACTGCATAGTAAGACCAAAACAATCAATCAATAAATACAAAAGGACGGAGATGCTGACACGCAGGACAGCATGGATGACCCTTGGGGACATGGCACTCAGTGAAATGAGCCAGCCACTAAGGGACCAATACTGTGTGCTCCCACATGCAGGACGCTCCTAGAATGGCCAATCACAGATACATGGCGGGGGACTGCCTGGTGCCAGGGGCTAGACACAGGGGCACAGGGAACTGGTGTCTCCTGGGGCAGGCTGGCTGTGCAGGAGAGTTTCAGGGACGGACGGTGGAAGGCTGCACAAATGTGCTTACTCTCACTAACTGCAGACCTGAAGTGCCGAAGAGGCACATTTTTTCTTCCACATCCGTCAGCACATCCTCCCAATTTTTAGGAAGGCGTACAGGGAGCCCTGGTGTGGCTCTGCATGTGGAGCTCTCTGGAACACTGTGAAGACTGTTGGCACCGCTGACCCCTCGCTGCCCCGATTCATCTTGTGGTCAGAGCTTTGCCTCCCAGGCCCCAAGGCTGCAACATGCCTCGGCACACACGTGCCAACATGCGGGCCAGCTGCTGGCAGGGAAGTGCTGGGCTCTCTTGCTAAGCCCGTGGCCCACAGGTGACAGGAGGCAGTCATGGCAAGAAGCAGCAGCTGAGAAGACATGAGGAGAGACAGTGTTTCTAGCATTCGAAACGCCAGGCATGGTGCTGCACACCTGTCATCCCAGCACTCCAGAGGCTGAGGCAGAAGGATGGTCCACCTGCCCGGGCTACCTAGTGAATTCAAGGCCAGACTACACAGCAAGACGCTGTCTCAAAGAGCAAAACAAAACACTGAAAAAAAAGGAGCATCAGCCATGAGCTTCGCAGTGGCATGCAGCTGAGCTCCCTGGGATGGCTCATCCAAGGTGGCTGGCCTGGCACCCTACCACCCAAAGGGGGCCTGGATTCTCCAAGCTTCCGGTGCAGGCAGCCCTGAGCCATTCTGAACAGGTGAGATGACAGGCTTTAAGAAGAGCTAGAGGGGCTGGGGATTTAGCTCAGTGGTTTCACCACCTGCCTCACAAGCACAAGGTCCTGAGTTCAATCCCTGGTACCAAAAAAAAGGGTAACTTCTGCCCAGGCTGAGCAGTGCCAGGGCCACTTCCTTGGGAGGCCCTAGCAGGGGCGCAGAGGTGGCACTATCAGGTACTGTTTACAAGCTAGCACAGCAAGTGTAAGGAGAGAGTAAAACGGAAGTGCAGGCAGATGGCAGAAATTAGTGACATTACAGAGCCAGGCGCCTGAGGGACAGGACCACCATGCCCAGCAAATGTTCTCAGAGAGCAGCTGATGCCAACCAGGCAAGGCCACGGCAGCTCTTTGCAACGCTGTCTGTGTGTGCACAGCCACCCTCGGCCCACACAAACTCAGAGGCGGGCCTGGCTGGGGGCCACGACTGTGCCTGTGGTTATCAGAGAGCCCCCAGCCCCATCTGTGTGCCCGATTTAGGCAGGATGTGACAGGTAAGAAAGGAGAAAGATCAGCTCTCCCATAGAGGGCAAGCAGGCCAAGAAAGGGCATGTCGAGAAAGTGTGGCCTTTCCCCTGAGCACCGCCCCACCCGCCACACAGCTCCGTCAAGGGGCAGATCTCAATACACTGTCCACCAAGGGCACTTCAGGTCAGTAGGTGTGGGTGTGGCGACAAGTTACCACTCACCCATCGCCCATCCGCCCAACCATCACCCACCTCACCGCCTGCTCATTACGAACCACGCACCGAACTATCTCCCACCCTCCCACACATCCATCCTTGCCACACAGCACCCCATGAGCCCCGCTGGGGGAGCCAGATCTGTGCACCTCTCAATCTAGGCCGTCCCTACTCAGTTCAGTAAGCGAGCAATTCAGTAATGCTCTTGGGTTAGTTCAGTGTTTCTCAACAGGGGGTGACTTGGTAGCGTCTGGGTGGAGGCCGGGGAGACCCCCAGCCCCAGCCCACTCCGACGCAACGTCATCAGGCGTTGGCGTTCCTCAGCAGCTGACGGCTACCTCTGTGCCCAGCTGGGGCTTGTGAAAAGCAAGGTGCGCGATCCACAGCACCACACAGCCACCTCACCTGCCACCACGGCTTCTCGGCCTCGGCCTCGGCCTCAGCAGGCACTTCAACTCCATAGACCTGCAGGGCCATGTAGAGCACAGCCACAGCCAGGTGTTGTGCCCGGAAACGGAGACACAGCCCACCATGGTAGCTGTCCCGCAGCAAGGCCCAGGCTGTGACAGAGATGGGAGTCCGCTGCCAGCTGTAACGGTTCAGCCAGTTCTTGAGGGAGACCAGGTAGTGGAGCAGGTACTGCAAAGACACGCACATCAGCCAGGGCGCTTCGGGCTCGCGCCTCACCTGGCCCAGCCCTCTCCAGGTTGCCACAGGCATGCACATCCAGGCCACTGGCGAAGAAGCCCTGCCTCCCTCTCACAGTGCCTCAGCCCCCTTCCTGCTGGGCTGGGATGCACTGGGTTCACTCCACCCCAGGGCCTTTGCACTCCTCGCTGCCTCTGCCTGAAACCATCCCCCACCCCAGGGCCTGCACCTGCCACGCCCATCCTCCAGTCCCACCACCACAGAATGCACTGGGGCCATTCTTGCTTTCTAAAGGGATGAGGAGAGGTGTATTATAAAAGAAAAACCTTCCTTAGGAATGTTAACAAGGAAAGGAACATTCTGCCCCAGGAGAAAAGTCTCCAGGATACAAAACTGTTTTCACTGCAGCCCTGTGCCCAACTCCTCCAAGGGCACAGCAGAAGGACACAGTGATGCAAACAGGGAACCCGAGAAAATTATACTTCCAAACCCTACAGATTTGATTAAAATCTCAACTTCTGTTTTGCTTTTTTAGAAACTATTTAGCAGGGCTAAAGATGTAGCTCAATGGCACTGAACCTGCCTGGCAAGCGCAAGGTCCTGAGTTCAAGCTCCAGTACTGGAAAAAAAAACAACAACTATTTAGCCAACTATGGTGATACACACCTGTAATCTCAGAACTCTGGGAGGCTGAGGCAGGAGGATTACAAGTTTTTTTGTTTTTCGTTTTTTTGGTACCAGGGATTGAACTCAGGACCTTGCACTTGCAAGGCAGGCATGGCACCACTGAGCTAAATCCATGGTCCAGGAGGATTGCAGGTTTGAGCCCAGTCTGGGCAACGAAGTGATTTAGTGTCTCAAAATAAAAGGGAAAAAGGGAAAAAGGGAAAAAAAAAAAAGTAAAAAGGGACTGGGGACGTAGCTCAGTACGAAGACCCTGAGCTTGATCCCCAGTTCTCCCTCTATCTGTAACATGCCAATTCCCACTTCTAAACCCACAGGTGAGCCTGTCCATGTGTGTCTTTCAAACTGAGGCCCGGAGCTCTGCTGCTAGGAACATGTGTCCACCTGGTAAGCATCAATGGCCCACTTTCCTGATATGGGCAGGCAGGGCAGGGGAACCCAGCATGGTACTGGGAGTTTAAGGCCCCAAACCACTTTTCTCAGTCCCCGACTGCCCGCCCCTACCCCAAAGGAGGTCCTTGTTTCTAAACCAAACTATGTGCCTCAAAATTAGGCACTCACCAAGTAGGATTTGGAAGGGCTGGGGGTGGAGCTCAGCAGAACATCTGCCTAGCACATGTGAGGCCCCAGGTTTGATACCCAGCAATGCCAAAAAACAAAAAAACAAAATTTTAAGCCAGGTGTGGTGGCGCACACCTGTCATCCCAGCACTTTGGAGGCTGAGACGGGAGGATCACCAAGAGTCTGAGTCCACCCTGGGTTACACAGTAATTTCAAGGCCAACCTGGACTACATAGTGAGACCCTGTCTCAAAAACAAAACCAAAAAACGGAAAAGAAAAAGAAAAACACACAGCACACACCCATATACAAGTTTTTTGTTTCTGCATTAAGTATTTAAAAACTACTCTGCTTTGTGTTATAAATGGAGGACCAAATGATATGAAAGTTTTCTTCCTTTAAGGCAGCTCTGTGTCCACACAGGGCCCACGGCCCAGGAAGGGAAGCCGGGCAGTGAGAGCCAGGGTGTTCCCCAGCCCCTCCCCTGTCCTCCCATGCCCATGTCTAATGAGGCGATGGCTCTGCCTTGGCCACCCTGATGGCCAACCCTCCACAACCTTCTCTAGCCTGGATTCCCCAAAGGCCACCACAGGAAATCGCTCTGCAGAACAGTGGGCGGTGCACCCTGTATGGCCAGCCACTTTCAGGAGGACTACAGTTGGTGCCAAGGAGCTAAAGTGGTGCTAGTCCTGGGTGCAACCTCTCCAGGACCCTAGCTGGCTAGTGGGCTCAGCCCAAACCTCAGAACCTCACACATGCGCAGACCACAGGGGTGCCTGGACAGTCGGGACCATGCACACACGCACACAAGCAAGCCGGCACACTGAAGGGCCTCAAAAGGGGGAGAGACTGCAGGCTTCCGCAGCTCAGGTCCCAGCCCCATTGTTGAGCCCCCAGGCCCAGGGCTGGAGACCGTTCTTGCCTTGACAAGTCCACCCCACAGTGGCCAGCGCCCTCCCCACCTGGCCCTGGGATGGTGACAGGCATTCACTGTGACTACTGTGGGGACATCCAAGGCCAGGCCAGAGGCATTGGGGGTCAGGGAGCGGGTGATAAACCAGCACCAGAAGGACCCTAAGAGGGATGGAGTCCTTTTGTATTGACACAACATGGCCAACACAATACACACTAAATCAGCATCCTGGTCGTGACCTGGCTCGGCGAGGGCACGTGGGATCACTTTGGGATCTTCCTTCCAGCAGTATGGGAATCTAGCATCACCTGCGAAAGGTTCCCTGTAAAGAGAACAGAGCTCCTGCCTAGAACCCTGCCCTGCACCTGCCCACAAGGTCCCGGGCCAAGCCTGGGCCACTGCCTGATGGCCTCCTGAGACCCCCATACCCCAGAAGTCAGTAAAGTACCACCTAACTCAGCGCCTCAGCTCCTCTCAGGGCTTTCTAAGCACACTGAGCCGGATGGAGGGCACCTCCTGGAAACAGGGACGTGGCAGGAAGCACCTGACCTAGCTGGGCTGCAGAGGCCCCAGCTCATGGCCCATGGATGCGAGTGGAGGGCGTAATGTTGGGCAAAATGTGCCAGACTCAGGCAAACTGCACATCTTTTCTTTTCTTTTCTTTTCTTTTTATTTTTTTTTGGTACTGGGGATTGAACTCGGGTCTTTGTGCTTGCAAGGCAAGCGACGGAACCACTGAGCTAAATCCCCAGCCCCTGCACGTGTTTTCTTTCCTAGATGGAGCATTAAAAAAAAAAAAGACAGGACACGAAAGCAGAAGAGAGACTGTTAGAGAAGAAGACAGGGATGGGGGAGGAGGGAATGGGAAGGACCGTAACGGGGACTGAAAATGACCAAGTGTATCCTGTCTGTGCCTGGATGTGCCAAGCCCAAGCCCACTAGTCTATGAAAGTGCTATGTACTCACAAGAGAAAGGCAGGCAGGCAGAGGCTGGGCCCACAACGGCCGGAGGTGCCCCTGAGCAGGGCAGGAGGCGGCGAACCTCGCTGCCTGTGGCCCTGCTCCTGTGGCATCAGCAGGGACAGGCTTGCAGGGATGGGCCAAAAGGCACGCACATACCTTGTGGGGGTGCTGGAAGGACACCTGGAAGCGCAGAACTCGAAGCACGACGAGCTCACATTGCACGATGCTGTCCCGAAGCTCCCAGAAGCGCGAGTCCAGCTCCAGGGGCTCGCTACCTGGGTTAAAGTACCTGCCAGAGGGACCGAGATGCTTACAGCGCAGCCAGGGGACAGCCCACTGTGCACATGTGTGACGCCCAGGGACAGCCCACGGCGTCTTGCAGGAGGCATGCTCTTTAACTACGTGGCTCAGGGCACCACGGAGACTGAGCGGCTGAGGCAAGAAGCTGGCTTCAGTTCTAGCCCAACAGGGCTATCCGCTAGCACTCAACAGGATATCAAGCACAAAGACTGGGGGTCGTGGTGCCTGTCACGGCCATGAGGCCTTGGGGAGGGCGTGGGGAGGGTCCTTTACCACCCAAGGGGCAGGACCCTGGGCCCTCCTCCTGGGCCACGGAGCAGACACCCTAACCCTAGGCCAAGACTGTTCACTGTGAAAGGCAAAGGCTTTTCGGCTTTCTATTTCCTTCCTGCCAGACCTTTCCGCCCTCGCCCTGGGTCCGTGACACTTCTACACAAGCTGCCCGAGATGTCCAGGCACAGGGTTCACAACACGTGCTCAGCACTCTGCCAGTGAGTCGCCCTCCCGAGCTGCTCGCCAAGGACGACCCAGCTCCCCATGCCCACGCATAATTAGGGGGCCACACAATTTCCCCTTCTGCAGCGCCTCCCTGCTGGGGCCAGGCAATTAGGGCCAGACTGCAGCCGCCCTCCCCGGGCCCATGTCTGCTTTCATCTCAGCCTCTCCCTGGACAGTGTGAACCTGCCAGGCGGAGGGGCTGGATGGTGCTGTTTCCCTTACCTGTTAATTAATAAAGTAGCAGAACAAAATGGCTTTCTTCCTAATGATCAGAGTGACACACAGCCCGCAACGCGCTGCAAATTGGGAACTTTCCGTAAGCCTTGCAGCTGTCACATGGGCCCTTGGCCTTGGTGGCTGGGCCCCTGCCTCCTTCGCCAGCAAGGGTACAACTGTGTGGCCAGCTGTGCTGCCCACTGCCCACAGCAGCTCCTGGGCAGCAGGGACTCAGTTTCTCGTGCCTCCTAAACACAACCACTGCCTGGATGAGTACTTGCACTCTGGACAGCTCCCAGTAGCCTCTCCTGGCTCCCTCCACTCAGGACCCCTCCTCCCCAGGTGGCCTTGCAACCTTCCCTCCCACACAGTCCCTAGGCTCCTGACCCCAGGCTCCTTCCCACCTTTGCAGCCAGTCCTTCCACCCTGGGTCAAGCCATCCAGCTGTTGCCCCCTGGCACCCAGAGGCCAGGGCCCTGGGGATGCCAGTACCTGTAGGACACGTTGATGATATCTCGGGTCCGCAGGTGCTGCTCCTCCACTTTGCCAGCCAGATAAATGGAAGACATGGCGACTAGGTATGGGTCATAGGCGTCCACGTTGATCTCGCAGAAGAATTTATGGTAAATGGTACACGCAGTGGCAATGGGAATGGAGTGCATCCCGAGTTTGACGCCTGTGGGGAGACAGGAGAGTCCTTCACTCTGGCCCTCCCCACCTGCTGCGCTGGGCCCTGGGGCGCACACCCCATGCAGACCAGAGTAGGCACTTCTTGGACTCCAGGGTACTGATAAGGGCCCTAGGATGGTGTTCAAGTCCAGGTACCCCTGCGGGAGGCCTGGGGACCCTGAGATGCCGGTCTCAGCCCCCAGGTCCTGCCATGGTACAGGGAGCGCACCACCCCCACAGCAAGGGTGTGGGCAACGTCAGTCACCCCCGGGCTTATCAGTTTGTGAACCAGGTCCAGAAAGACCATCCACTGCCACGCGTCTGTTTCACACGAGTCAGTGCAGAACTAGAGGCCCCTGGCTCCCAGCCCACCTAGCCAAAACCCTGCAGGGCAGGAAGGAGAAAAGCCTGTGAGCCAAGCACATGCCAGCAGTTCCGTGCTGTGTTATGGGATTACACCCAGTTACATCCAGCACCGGTGTCCTGGTCTACACTTTAGGGCAACCTCAGGCAGGGCAGTGAAGGAGACCAACATGCTGAGAAGTGAGCCAGACTCGAAAGCCACAGCATGGTAGAGTGCTACTGTTCCGGGATCAGAGCTTGCCCCACCCTACTCCAGTCCTGGACGGGTTCTCAAGGAATCACTGCGCTGAGCCGGTGTGGTGGCGCCCGCCTGTCTTCCCAGCATTCAACAGGCTGAGGCAGGAGAATCACTGCGAGTTCAAGGCCAGCCTGGGCTACATACATGGTGAGTTCAATGCCAGCCTGGACTGCATAGACCCAGTCTCAAAAAAACAAATATAAAATAAAATAAAATAAAATAAAATAAAATAAAATAAAATAAAATAAAATAAATCACTGTGCTGGGTCACAGAACCAAAACCAATTCCAAAGACCAGGGTTAACCAGACAAGGTTAAATGACATCCCATGGGCTGGCAGAAGGTGGAAAGCAGCCAATAATCAATTGTTCAGGTTTCGGTCAGCACCTTCTACCTGAGTGGTACCCTGTGGCTACTGTAACAAATCATCGGCTGAAAGCGCACCCCAGCCATTTACACTCCCACCAAAGGAGCCTTAGGGGGCAGAGCCAAGGCACCAAGGGGGTTTCTCCCACAGGCTCCAGAACAGAATCCATGCCCCTTCCTTTTATAGCTCCTAGAGGTGGCTTCCTTCCTCTCCTAAGCCTGCTTCTGTCACCCCCAGCCTTCGCCTGCCTGTGGCTCCTCCCACCTCTCACCTGTGTGGACAAGCATGGTGACAATGGGCCCACCCCAGTTATCTAGGACAATCTCTGCATCTGGAGGTCCTTACTCACATCTGCAGAGTCCCTTTTGCTATATAAGATGCCACTCAAAGGTTCCAGGGATTCAGACGGGGAATCTTCAGGGAGCCAATATATAGTTCCTACAAAGGACAAGGGCAAATGCAGTATGTTTTCTCAAGAAGTCCTTCAAGAGCTGGGTGTGGTGTGTATACATACCTGTAGTTGCAACACTTGGGAGGCTGAGGCAGGGGAACCTCCAGGAGTTCGAGGTCAGCCTGGGCTACATAGCGAGACCCTGTCTCCAGAAAAAAAGGACACCTAGCGCTTTTAGCATGTCAAGGTCTACACATCAGGACTCTCATTCCAGGAGATTCCAGATAAGGGGGTGTTGCTGACATGACCCTCTGAGTAGACAGATGGTAGCAAATGGAGGGGCCACTTCACTGCTACCCTTCCTTAAAACACTTTGCAACTTTTTTGAGACAGAGTCTCGCTATGTTGTTCAGGCTGGGCTCAAACTCACAAGGATCCTCCTGCCTCAGCCTCCTGAGGGTTGGGATAACAGGCACGTGCCACCACACCTGGCTTGCAATTCTTGGAAATCAAGTTAAATGCACAAACCGCCGGGATTAATGGTCCTTCGCCATTTCTTCAGGCTGACTGCTGAACCTGAGCACACCAGAGTGATCAGGACACCGAACGAGATGGTATTAATAGGGAAACAGGGAGTTTCTACAGAAACCCCAAGAGCTTCCTCGCCTCGCCCTACTGGGCTCGGAACAGAAGGCAAAGACCCCAGCCCTGAGCCGGGTGTCCCACCTCCGCCCAGGCATCTCCGTGAGCCCGAGTAGCTCCGCGTCCCCAGCCCGCGCTCCCTGCCCATGCGGGGCCACCTCTCCCTGGCAGCGGTTACCTGCTTCCATGATGAACCTCGTTACACGGAAATGCACCCTCTCCACCGGCGCCGGCCGGCCATCAGCCCCAGGCGCCGAGACGCCTCCGCAGCTCTCGGGGTCCAGAGCCTCCATGAGGCCTCGCCCCACGGCCCAGACCCTCCCAGGGAGGGAGAAGCGCCCCCGGCGCGCCGAGGCCGGCTCCCGGGGTCCTCGAGGCGGGAGCGGCGGCCCCGCCCCGCTCCGCAGGCCCCGCCCCGGCCCGGCCCCGCCCCGGCCCTCCTCCCTCCCCGCCGGGTGAGCACGGCTGCACAATGGAAGGAGGCCCGGTTGAGCGAGTCGGCGCAGGCGTAGGCGCAGGCGCAGAGGCCGACGGCGCGCTGGGAGGCTTGCGTGCGCCTGCTCGCCTCTGGAAGCCGAACAGCCCGCCCCCTCGAGTTTTACGCCCCGCCTCCGGGAAACTCACCAGGATCTCAGACTCCCAGGGCTGCGCCTAGGAGCGGAGGCCCCGCCCGTGGGAAACGCAAAGTCTGCTCCCGGCCCCAGCGGGAGCTGTCCGGGCGCTAGCTGAGGGCGGGGACAGAAGGTCCCTCTTGCGATTTAGGTGTGGTCCCGGGCTTGTGAGTAAGCAGTCGACCCTAATGAGAGACGTTAATTTTTGTAAAACCCAAATCCAGATTTTCGAACAATCATACAGATGAGACCCGAAGGAAATGCTGTGCAGAAGGCGAAGAGGGGCTTTTCTAATGGAGGCATTAAGGGTATTTGTGTGGATCTAACAGATTTAAGCTCCGGCATACAGTAGGAGCTTAATAAGTGTTTGCGGAGTGAATGTTGAATATCAAACTCATGCATTTGTCATCCCATATTTCATTCGTGTCTTCCACAAGCAAGAAGTTGGGCGCTGAGTGTGAGGGACATAGAGCACCAAAGGGGCTCCCAAGCTAGTGACAGTGACACAGGACATTCTGACACATTCAGACAAATGCTGTGATTTGAAGTCGCTGGGATTACGGAGAGGTGAAAGCCCTCCTGCACAGTGACTTGGAAATCTCCACCTCTTACCTCCCCATCTGTCCAGCCTTCTCCCCTTCTTCGGCCCCCCACACCTCCATGGTGCTCCCCCAGTCCTCTCCTCTTTCCAGCTGGGTTAATGTCCTGGGGCTGCTGGGACAAACCGAATAACTAAAGACAACAGGGATGAGAGAAGGGAGAGAGTTTCTCCGTGAGGGTCAGAGAACCGCTGATGACCACACTCCGAAAGAGCTGGGAACTGATGCCCTGAAGTTTATCAGGAACGAGCAGGCAGTCATGTAAAGGTTTAGATTTTCATTTTTTTCTGTTCCTTCAATCTTCTTTTATTTTTTTAAAAAATACTTCTTTTGTAATATGGTGTTCTAAATGGAAATGAAAACTGGCACCTCCGTCTCTGAAACGTGGTAACTTGAATTCCAGTGCTCAGTATTCATCACTGTTTATTTTCATAGTCCTGGTTTCAGTGATCAAACCTTGGCTCCCTTAGCTTGTCGTGTCCTTTCTAAAACTGATGCACATGTGCAGAAAGGCCACCTTTTTCAGGACTGTGCATTTTCAAGTTGTGATGCTTACGACTGGCCAATGTGATTGTTCTTAATGACTTTCCACTTGGCCCTGGTACTTGGGCTTGTGATTGCATTGCTTCCTGACCATGATTTACAGTGGGAGACAGAAGTTTTTCAGAGAACCGAACTGTGGGAAAATGATCTTTCCTTAACTTGAAGCTTTACATTTAAGGACCTGGACCACAAGAAGAGGAAGATCAGTTTTGGAGTGAAGATGACAGATGTGGTGAGAGTAGGGACTAAGTCCAAAGTTGGCTTCACTCAAGAGAAGCCATTTGAAGACTTAAAAAAAAAATTGTCAGAAGATCCCAGCAGCGTTCTAATTTTCATTAACAATATAAAGTTACTTGTGCAGTGTCGGGAGCAAGGCTACATAATTTTGGGGAAAAATCATTTGGTTAGCCTAGTTCTCCTGTCTACAGCCCAGCTGTGGCATGTTGAGACATAATTCCATTTTGGCCCCCCGTCACAACTGAGACCTCAATGATCCCATGATGCTGTGATGCTCCAGGACCAGATTACACCAGCTGAAGACATCTTGGGAGGAACAAAATTTTCATCTACTCAGTTCCTCATTGATCTAGGAATTCCACTGCTCTCCAGTCATCTGTTACATCTGTTTCTCCCGATGTACTGAATAAAAGGTGCGGTAAGCTGGGGGTTTTCGTCTTTGCTGCCCAGAACAGCACTGTTCAGACCCAGAGCTCAGCTTCTTCTCAAAGTCTCATTTGTCTACCTTTCCTGTGTAATAAGTTAACTTGCTTGTGCTGCCCTGGCTCACAGGAGACTAGGACTTACTGCAGAGGTTCTGGTAACGTCCCCTTTCCCTGTTGCCTACATTTGGCACCCAACGTGGATGTGAATCGGATCCAGGGGTGAACTCGCCTGTGAGACAAACTCGGAGTAAAAGAGACAACACAGGGATCTCCCAGGACGATTTCCAGACTCGGACGAGGGACGCTGGTGGTAAGTGTGTCCAGCTGGGGGTAATTTTCTATCTTTGCTGAGTTACAACTATGGGTCAGTCTCTGTCATCGGAGCAGCATAATTTTGCCAAATTATTTAAGTCACTGTTAAAGCAAGCTATGTACCCAGTACCTAAGGGTGCTGTGATAGATTTGTTAAAAGACATGCAAATGTACGTCCCATCTTTTCCCCAGGAAGGGACAACTAACTTACTAGCATGGGAACGTGTAGGTACCGTTCTCCGTGAGGCCTGGCAATGGGGTGATCGTCTCTCCCCCCGAACGCTCCGCACTTGGGCCTCAGTCCACTCTGCTCTCGGATTCTCTCAGTCAGATCAGGAAACCTCGGCTAACCCACCCCCCCACCCTTCTGTCCAGGCTTCCCCTTGTTCGGCTTCGTCTCCGGTTTGCTTTCATCTCACTGCGGCTTCTGCTCCACCCCCACAGCGTGCTGAGGAAGACCCTAACTCTCTAGCCCCTGAGCCATCTCACAGAGGTCTAGCTGCCCCTCTTGTGAAGCCCTCTTCTGGGGCCACTCCCTATCACTGTACCCTGCAAAAGGCTGTGACATCGAGCCAGGCGGTGGGAGACCCTTTGTGCTTTCCTGTCTCAGTTTTGCCTGATCCTGACAGCTCAGAGGTGGACATGTATGTTCATGCCTCGTTTGATTTTAACATCCTAAAGGACCTCAGGCAGAGTGTGCTAACTAATGGCGTCCAAAGCCCCTATACAGTGGGTTTGTTGAACAGTGTACTTCAGACTTATTCTCTGGTTCCACACGATGTTTTTCACCTTGCAAAAACGAGCCTGTCCCCCGCTCAGTATCGCCACTTTGAGGTGGAACTGCGTTCATTAATCAGGGAACAGGCTCATAAGAATGCTCAGGGAGACGCTCAGTCAAGAGAAGTTACTATCGACATGTTATTGGGCACAGGTGACTTTTCGGATTTAAGCAGGCAGGCCTGTTGCCCAGCGTTACTCTTCCGCCAGCTAGAGGACCTCCTGCGGAGGGCTTGGGCTTCTGTGCCAGTTGAGGGTGCGCCAACGGAATCTTTTACTCAAATCATGCAAGGGCCTGGGGAGACTAACACAGAATTTGTAGCAAGATTACAACAAACTATTAGGAGACAGATTTCTAATTCCCAGGCAGCCGACATCCTGATCTTACAGCTAGCCTATGAAAATGCTAATATGGATTACAAACAGGCAATAAATCCTGTTCGCTCCTCTAAAGATCTTGGAGCCTATACTAAGGCATGCCAGAATACTGGGTCTCCTTTGTACAATTCAGCTCTGATGGCTCAGGCCATCTCCCAACATTTACACAGTACACACAGTGATTTAACATGTTTTAATTGTGGAGAAATGGGGCATCTCAGAAAAAACTGCAAAATGAAAGGGGCTTTACAAGCTGACCCAGGGCCACTGAGTCAGGCATCCAGAGAAAACAAGGTACCGCCTGGCCTTTGCCCTCGATGCCGAAAAGGCACTCACTGGGCTCAAGATTGCCGCTCCAAATATGATAGGGATGGTGCACTGCTGCTGGGAAACGGAAATCAAGCCCTTCCCCGGGCTCGGGAAACAAGAGGGGATCAGGGCCAGGGGGCTCCAGTCCCCCTGAGTCAGCGGTACCCGGTTCAGACCCGTGCACAAGTACAAAATCAGATGGCATGGGTGTCCGGAGGGACATTTCTTCCCTCATCAGGGGAACACTGGGGAGCTCAGGAATAGATCTTCCTGCTGCTCAGAGAGTTCACCTACTGGGAGGTGAGACTCCGGTATCTGTCCCCACAGGAATTCATGGACCCCCCCACCCCCCGGAACCATTGGCTTGATACTTGGAAAATTCTCTCTAACTTTGAAAGGCATTGCTGTTATTTAGGCTATTGTTGATTCTGATTGTAACTCTGGGGGCCGGGGATTTAGCTCAGTGGTGCTGACGCCTGCCTCGAAAGCACAAGGTCCCAAGTTCGATCCCCGGTACCAAAAAACAAAAAACAAATACTGATTGTACCTCTGAATTGTGCATTCCTCTTAGCTCCGCAGGACTCTGGGTAATAGAACAAGATTATATTGCACAATTGTTGCTCTTGCCTAAACCGAAATTAAATAATGTTAGCTTTAAAAATTCCCGAGAGGATCCTCAGCCAGAAATTCCTCAAGAAGAGATTTATTTCACCCAAAGGATTTCCAAAAAACCGGCCCATGTGCAAAATTAAATTGAATGGCAAATTCTTTACAGGGCTGATAGACACGGGCGCAGACATGTCCGTGATTGGCACATGTTTTTGGCCGTCATCTTGGGGGAAAAAACCAACTAAAACATCTCTGGTAGGCCTTGGCACCCCCTGACAAGTTTTGCAAAGCTCCATTCCCCTGCCTTATGAAGGGCCTGATGGTCAGTCAGGACATATTTGTCCTTATACAGCTCCCATACCTGTAAATTTATGGGGCAGAGATTTATTGGAAGAATGGAGAGTCTTATGTAATGACCACTTTGCCCCCTGAAACCTCACTGGGTCAACACATGATGTCTAAAATGGGATATGAACTGGAAATAGGATTAGGCAAGCAACGTCAGGGCGGAATGCAGCCTATAGAACAGCAACAGAAAAATAATCGCCTTGGAATTGAATACGATAAAAAAATTTTTAGTTGGGGCTATT